GGTCAAGTGCCGTACACACACAGCATCCAAACTACACTCATCCACTACGTGCAAAATGAACGTCTCTTGTCAATAAATCAGTATTGTCACATCAGTTTGATAGCATTTCAATTATTTACTGATCTAGAAAGGTACTCTATAAATAAACTTAATAATACATTTACCTTACTGACTTGAAAGTAGAAAGACAGAACCATTTGTATTGTTAGTCATCTCACTCAAAAACAGGACAAAAACTGATTCTAATAATAACAAAACAACATTTGTGTTGGTGATGAAGAGGTTTCCTCACCTGCTCTGATCAGCAGCCTCTGTACTGTAAACGTTGCTGTGTTGAGTCTGGAGGAGGATCGATACCAGCTGATGTTGAAGTCTCTGGTAGAAGTCCAACAATATGTCTCCCCTTTTAAACCTCCTCTTGTCTTGGAAACATTTGACTGCAACCAATCATTTTAGCACAAGGAGATTAACAGCCAATTAAAATACTGCACATTTCCCTTCACCATATATGTCTCATTATTGGATGAGGCATGTATACGTTGACACAGCCAACTGCTCCATGTAATTATGTAAATGAGGAAGTGCAGCTTTTACAGACAGTAACATATTCTGATCTAACGGGCATGGTTTTAAAAATACATATTTTGAGGTTTTAGTATTTCTTTGGTTTTTGTTATAGTTTTTTATGGGTTTCAGTAGAAATACAAAAGCAACACACTCACAGGGGACGTCAGAGACCGTTCACCCACTTCATGGGCGATGTAGCCTAAGCTTATATTCTTTAGATTGACTGGTGCTGTTCCTTTTAGTCATGTGTTAAATACATTAAAAGCTTTCGTCCTTTGTTCATTAAAGTTGCCCCAAACTAAATCTGGCGTCCGTCTGCCAGAAACTTCTAGAAAGATATAAAGGAGAACAATGAGCAGTTTTTATGTCCAATCACAATCCAGCTACAATAAACAATAAAGAACACTGATTAACTGCCACGTTACAATATACAAGAGGGCTGCTGAATGTTCACAGTTGTGTCTACGTAGATCTAGTCCAGGTATTTCCCACACTAACACTCCCTAAGTACTAACTTAACTACAGGTTCGCTCTGCTCTCATCTGTGCATTGAGCAGCATCGACCTTTCAGCTAAAATCTTTAACTCTGATGAATATTCTTTGCTTAAATAAAGAAGGACAACAACGGCAATGTTTGTGTTGAATACTTTTATTTCTACAGACAATTTTGACCACAATAGCGATAATAATACGATCTGGAAAGTTCCAAGAAAATGCAAAGCAAAAGGGAAGAGAAAGCTTCTGAAGCTGAAGGGAAACAGAACAGGTTTCATAAGTCAAACATCTTTTATATTTTTTAAAGTTATTTGTTACTGTGAAGAACAAAACCAAAAAATTCACCCTGGAGAAAGTATAAGGATATAAATGTAGCGAACATTAGTTATATTAATATTCAGATTATACAGAGTAATAATAGTATGAAGTGAACTCATCATGTAAAAATGTACCCATAAGTTTTATATAGACAAGCAACCTATTAGCCTCAAGGGTAGCTGGTAATACAACACTCAGCTCTAACAAGACTCAAGAGACAAACTAGATTGTTAAGCTTTAGTTTAAAATGTGTATATCTCAATAACAATGTTACTGTTCTTATCTAGCTGGTGGCCTTTGTCATTACAGATCTGCTCGACACTTCCCGGATCCGAACTCTCGAGGAAGGACTGCGTTGGTCTGTGTGGAATGCAGAGTCTTTTCCCCTTTAGGTACCTGTATAATGAGATCTATATTTCAGAGCCAGTGCGACGGTGATCAGGAGAACGATGTTCATCTTGTGTAGAGGGGAGAAGGAATGGGACTTTTTGAGCATCTTATTTCATTGTTCAAAAATATTGAAAATACACCAGTAATTGGTCAAGTGCCGTACACACACAGCATCCAAACTACACTCATCCACTACGTGCAAAATGACAAATAATTAGTAAATGTATTAGTACTGTGTTAGAAAAGTATTACTTGACACCGGTTGTAAAATCATTAAACAGCACATTTATTCTTGCAAGAAGGAGACAGAGTTGAACACATACAAGTTAATGCGTCAAGGTGCTGCTCAAAGGTCTGTCTCTGATATATACAGTATATACTGAGGATAACACACAAGTACGTTGGAACAGAATGATTTGGATACACTGAGGATAACATACAAGTACGTTGGAACAGAATGATTTGGATACACTGAGGATAACACACAAGTACGTTGGAACAGAATGATTTGCATAAAGTCTGGAACATCGTTTGGACCCGTTTCTTTGATAATTCCTTCAGTCTGAGGTCATCTTATCCTAATTGGAAAACGCCATCGTTGCAAATCAGCCTTACGTACAGACTGACATGCTCAACAGGTTTGTTATCTCCTCTTTACCCAGGTCACAGGAGATGTCAGGACAAACAGCTGAAATGCTCCTCAAGAAAGACAGCTGTGACACCTAATGAAAAACCCAGCTGAGACACTTAGTGTGAAAAGAAGTTCACACAAAGTTTCACACGAGGACACAGGCCTTTGGAGACACAGAACATTCACAGAACATCCCAACAGCTGTCACAGTGCCTTACATTTTGCAAAGATAGCATTTTAATATTGTTTACAAACTCTATGGATTATTACCATGTCATTTTGATTTTTTTTACATTTCAGTTTAATGTCACACACATAAGTTTGAATTTGACAAAAAGCTCAATAGACGTTTGCGGAAGTATTTTTCTCTTTTCATTCTATGCATTCATTTCATTTAATATACTGAACTATATTTTCCATTCATTTATTAACAGTGTAATGTTTCTTCACATACATTATTATATTTTTGCTTTTGTCTTTTATTGTGAAGCACATTGTGACATCTGATCTAGAACGGTACTTTAAATATACTAATGTACTTTGTCGGTGGGAAGACAGAAATAGTCCTAATGTTAGTCATTTAAGTCAGAAAAAGGACAAAAGACAGATTCTAAAGATACTGTACTGTAAATGTTTCTGTGTTGAGTCTGGAGGAGGATCGATACCAACCGATGTTTAAGTCTCTGATGGAAGTCCAATAACATTTCCCCTTTTAAACCCAAAGGAATAACAGCCAATCAAAGTACTGCAAACTACCCTTTCACCATATACGTCTGTGATAATCACCAGCAAACTAGTCTTGAGTGTGGTAGGCTACTGTGCATACATTTGTCGGAACAAACCAACAGCTAAATGCTACCATGCTAATTTCCCAGATCTGTTCTAGTACAATCTTTAATGAAAGCATAGACGGAGTCGTCAACATGTCACCCATTGGTCTGTGGACTGCGGTTTTGAAACCTCGAGTTCGGCATTTTGTCTTGGATTGCGATTTTTGCAATCAATGCCACATGCGGCTCTGGTAGCGGTAGCAACCCGTCGGTTACCCGCCCTAAAGCCTACCCTGCTTTATTATCTACTTTACTCTAAATGGACCAGAATTTACAAAATCATGACATCATGCTGTACTGAAAAGGTCTTGGAAATAGTGATTCAGACCATAAACTCATGGTCAAAATGTTTACTGAGGTTCCTATGCACCTAATTACTATATTGTTCTGACTTTTTCAATTTTCAAGATATTTAGCAAACAAATGTTCATGTTCCCAACACATATTATTGTCCCAAGGGTCTGTTTGGGGGCTATCTTTGCAGCACATCTTACAAAGACAAGTGACCTTGTTTTTGTATGAAGGGGGCTTCAACTTACATTTCACCAGTGAATTGACATATTTAGAGACCGACTCAATCAGACCAAAGCAGAAGTCATTTAATATCAATAACAGAAACCACATGATAGGTTGAACAGATGAACATGACACAGATTAACAAGAGATACAGAGAAGAAAATGAAGCTTTCACCAAATGGTTGAACTCATGTGAAGCATAGACACTAATGGTGGAATGTAACCAACTACATTTACTTACAAACTTTCATTTTGTGTCGATTCTGGTGGTGATTGAAATAGGAAGTGTTTCTAAACACCAGCCTCCCTTTAGATTAGAAACCCTCCCATTTTAATGCAGCGGGGTCTGACGTCTGCTCCGCTCAGTCCTGGTTCTCACGTGCCCAATGCAGCCTGGGCCACCAGCAGCGTGGCGTTGGATCCAGTGGGGACCGGCGCAGCAGCGAAGCAAAGCTCTGCTGAAGTTTGGACCATTAAGATTTAATATGTATTTATGTATTTTGGACCAAAATAAACATTCTGAAGTGTTGACTTTTGGCTCTGGGTAAATGGGACTCAGTTTCTCACGGTTTACAGAATGTTTACAAAAATAATCAGTGGATTAATCCACGAAGAAAATAATCACGAGTTGCACTTTGATCGTAAATAGTAAAAAAATAATCTCCACCTCAACCAACCACAGCAGTAAAATCATGCTTTTACTTTATTGCATGATAATAATAACATTTTTCGCCATTGAGTACTTAAATTTTACTGATTATACTTTTATACTTTTACTAGAGTAATATTCTCAATGCAGGACTTCTATTTTAATTTTATATACATTTTTGCAAAACTCACTCACAATAAAACTCATTATCTCTTCATTGATATTTGAATAAAAAATGCCCTGTTTAAAAAGAAGAAGAAAAGTCTAAACTTAGACAGGAAATAAATCCCCCAACACCTCAGATGATCAGGCCAAAAAACCCAATTCAAACCCTTTGCTGGTGAAACCCAATCTCCTGGTGCATTGTAACTAGCAGTGCACAAGTAACACATGCACTTCATCCATCTACTGCTGCTGTTTCACAGCGGAGATGATCAGAGGATGGGTGTTTTTCTCATTTTGTTTAAGATGTGGACTAAAATATGGGAAAACCTCGTCACTGAACGAACACTCAGTAAACGAGTAGATGTGAGATTTGGCCGTCACATGGTAGAAGGACACGAGACCTTCCTCGTAGTCCACAAAAACCCCGACCTTCTGAGGTTTCCCTGTCAGGGAGAGGCTGGCGGGCGGCACCGTCAGAGCGGCGTACTTTTCCTCCTCGTAATGTACGATGGCCCAGTAACCGCTATCCGGGCTCAGCGAGAGTTTCCCCTTGCGCGTTGCGTCGCGCCTCGCTACACCCAGGTCCCACCCCGTCTTGTTGGCGACCTCCACCTCCCAGTAGGACTTCCCAGAGGACAACCTGTTGAGCCCCAGGATGCTGCCAAACATGTCAAACCTCTGTGGAGCATCAGGAACCTTCTGGGTCTTTCCTCCATCTCTCACCATCTTCCCGTCGGGGGACAGAACAAGACACGGGTGTGCGGTGGTCGGATCCAGCTTTACATCCACTGAAGTTGAGCAGAATAATGGAAATAGAATCATGATGTACTTCATATGGGTGAGAGACACACTGTATGTTAATGCTTGTGCAGTTTAAGTTATATTAGTAAACTAAATAAGCAAATATAAGAGAACAACCTCCTATCTGCTACTAGACACCACAAAGTGACGTGGTGTCCTCCCAAGAAAAACCACAGAATCAGTTGTTCCAGCAAAAGCCTCAAGTGACAAAGAGAATGACTAGGTGAAGAAAAACATCAGAGTAACACGTAAGGCCGCAAGAAGTTTGCTTCCTGTTTACGACTATGTGTCAATGTGTTCAAAAAAATAGCGGTGGTGGTGTGCTCAGTGGTTAAAACATTATTTGCTCAACAAACACAAAAGTACGGGAGAATTTAAATAAAAGCCTTCATTGGTAGCATGGCTTGTTTGTGACAATTTCTAAATTACTAAAAACAACGGGATTGAACGTTATCATTCGCGGAGCACTTCCTAAAGACTTCCCGAACTGAAACTCCAAGAAAACAAAGCAAAGGTTAAAGATGGTTACTGACTGAAATCGAAGATAAACTATTCAAAAATATTGATATCCAAATAAATATTTCACATTTAAGTTAATAATTTCTTCATTTAAGCCTGGATATACAGTTTTAAGTTTGGCTTTTTCTCAGGAAGAGTGAGCGCATGCCCCAGTTTGACTCCCCAGTTTGCTATTTTATTGCATATTTTATGCAGAGATTCTATCCTTAGAGCATCTTTCTGTGTGCCGAGACTCCCTTGAGTGAATGTATAAAAGGGCCAGGCTCAGGTGGTGCAACTTCATCTGTTACCCTGAAGAGGACCTGACCAGGTTGAAACCAGTTTTTTTTTATTGTCATGGAACCATAGAGGCTTTTAAAATTGAATCTCCAAATGCACTCACGCCCCTTAATGCCTGAAGCTTTTTCTTTTAAACCATAATCATTCTCTTACCACTGTGTTTTTTTCTGTTTTAAATAGTAGATTTTCATTAAATGTTCTGAGTCACACACCTGCAAATGTGGGAATCCTCTTGAGTTCTGTGGAAAGAGAAATCATATTAAAGCAAGTGACTACAGATGAAATGCATAACTTGGTGAACTTGAGCAGTACTCACCAACAGAAGAGAGTTTATCCAGTTCCTTGTGAATTTCTTCCATCATGTTTGACGTTATAGTTCTCAGCGTACCAAAGGAGAATAAAGTGTCAACAGTGACATTTTTCCAGTCACAGGTTTCGCCCAGGCCTGTTTGAGGTGAAACCTGTGTAATAAAATATGAGAATATTATAATTTTAATGAATTCGAAACAGGTGGAAAAATACACAGAATTGTTGAGCACAAAACCGTGAATATTGGCTTAGCTTCCCCTAGATGTAGATATTGTCAGATGCTGACATCTAGCAGAGTAAAAGCATAATGACTTGCTGAAATGTTTAAAAGGCTAAAAGCTTGGATGCTCACCTGCAAGTCAGGATTTTTGTCCAACTCGTCGATGGTCATTTTGAGTTTGTCAATTTCCTTTTGCAGCTTCTGGACCAGATCTTGTGCTTCTCTCTTCACTCTCTTTCTCCTAAAAGTAACACGCAGTAACATTAAGCAGTTAGTTGTATTCGTTGATGACTCCTAACTGTGGTGTTAGTGTGATGTATCCCTAAACCGACCTCTTCTCCAGAGGTTGGAGGGCTTGCTGCCGCGTGTCCTCAACGACTCTCATCACCTCTGAGAACACGTTGCTGATCTCCAGCCATTCAACGTCCAGGCCGCCCTGAAAAGAGTAACGGACAGTGAGGATGTTAAAGAAACGTTAATAAGCAAAAATCACAAAGCGAAAGAATCTGCCACAGCTCACCTTGCAGGCTTTTACAGATGATCTGACTTCGGCCATCTTTTGTTCTCTGGTCTGAATTTTCTGCTGTAAATCAGCCCTCATCCTGTCTTGCCTCGCCTTGAATGAAACAATTAATGCTTGTATTAGTATGCACACATTGTAGCGACCACGTGCACAAACACAAGTACAGTGGCAGCATTGCTGAATGAAACTGCTAAAGTTTGAATCAAATAATGCTAAAAGGCTAAATTAGAGCCGTTAAAACGTATAAAATACACAATAGAGTTGAATAAACTAAAGCTTTGTTTATACTCAAGCGGGGCACTGTAGCGCGAGCCTCTGCAGATGGGTACAAGCACGCACAAAGGCGTTTAATGCTCTTTGTTGCATTATTCTCCGAAACGTAAGTGAAGAAGCAAGAAGACAAGACGGCAAAACGCCATAAACCGACCTCCTCAATGCAGAGGAGGAATTGCAATCGACTGTAAAGTAATAAATATTCATGGACTACTTTCATGAATAGCCCTGTAGAGAAAGAAGTGAAGTATTATGCTTCATAATTAAATGGAGCTTGGATACCCTAGTTTTGGCTAAAAACTAGACACTGTATTATTAAAAGTATAGTACCTGTTGTAGTTTCTGATCCTCTTTCTCTTTCTCCTGCTCTCTCTCTTTTGGTCTGACTGTTTCCTGTGCTGTGGTTGTTGGAATATCCCAGACCTGTTGCTCCACCTAAAGGATGAAAGCACTCAGTGCAAGCCGGACCAAATGATAATAACACTGCATGAAGTTGTGCATGGTTACAACCACAACTTCTATCCAACGGGTGTATACGAATCCATCTAAGTGATTCACAGGATGAAGGCTGGATTTGCTCTTTTAAATAGAGAGAATCTGCTGTACCTGCTGTGCACTGGTGGAGAAATCAAGCGCTCTACGAGCGTTGCCGATGGTTTGGTGCGTTGTGCTGTCGTGCGGTGGAGTCTGAAACGCTGCAGAGAAACAAGTTTGTCACCGTCAAACAAAGCTGCTTTGAATCCTCTCTATGTTCTTCCTGTTGTGAATGAATTACGCTCATGGAACATACCTGATTTGTTTGTTTCCTTCCCTGGGACTTCCGCGGCTGCAGGGTTGACTTGGGTGCTGAAGATCTGCGACACTGGCCTCAGCGACGGCTGTCAGAGAAAGGCGGGAGACGAGATTTGACAGGTTTCGCTCAACAAAGCTTTGCTCACTTTTCCCGACACTGTAACCTTGCTTTCACAGAAGGATGTCGTACCTGTGCGCCACCGGCGAAATCGAGCACTCGGTTGGTTCCGTCTAAGATTTGATTTCCCAATACTGTGGGAAAACTATAATTATAATGCATACTTGATTTGATCATCTCTATGAATTCATCTTCTGTTCCTGGAAGAGTTGTGGTGGTGAAGTATGGAGACACGGGAACATTCTGTCAGAGAGAAGAAGAAGATTGGACAGTGGGTTTCTGATTTACATTGATTGCATTGAATCCTATTCCTTTTGTATTATCCAGAACAATCTTTGTATTATTGACAACAACATGATTTGTCCTAAATTGATTGTACGATTTTGAAGTTGTTTAGCACATATAATTTATATTTGTCTGGATATACCTCAGTACTGACTGGAGTGGTCCAGTTAAATTCTCCACTGTCCTTTTGATTCATCCAGGTGTTCTGTTGACTCCCTGACAATAAGAAGAAGAAAACCTTTCAGTGGTTTGGGAGACGGCTTTTAACTCTTACTGTCACTCCTATTATTTCCTGCTTTTGCAGCAGGTGAATCAGAGACATCAGTGATAAACATGCGTAACTAGAGACCACGGATGTGTAACCACTCACCGGATTTGAAAGGAGGGGTGAAGGTATTCATCAAAGGCTCTTTAACTGTTATGAGAGGTCCCTGGTAGGTTAGTTGAGGACGGTAACTGCTAAATCTGAATTGTTCACTCTCAGGGATACCCATTCCCTTGGGTGTGCATCCCATCTTCCCCTGGTGAGTCCTCAGGCCATGGTATGTTGTCGCTTTGGACCAACCGCAGTGGCAAATCTGGAGGCTCATATCTGACGTATTGAGTTTGTCTGCAGAAGTCCCACAAAAGGTTAATTAGGTGAATCATATTTTTGTAGATGTTAATGCTGATGTGATAAGTATCTTTTTATGTTAGATCTACTGAATGTCTGACTAAGTTGTTTTCTAACTTTCATGTCAGTGATTGTTTATTTGATGTCAGACTGAACTGTCTGCCACCTGGATGTGTAAGACAGTGATTAGTCGCCCTCTAGCAGCGCTCTAGAGTAATTGTGCAGTATCACCTACTTCCTGCTGTAAAATACACACAGCCAGACAACCAGGAAATGAATTCTGAATGCAGAAAGGTAGATGTGGATAACTTCTAAACCTTGTCAGTGTCGTGAGGAGTTTTACTTTAAACGGGATTGAATCAGTGGAATAAATGATAAAATAAGATGAGATGAACTTCTTTGATACAAGGGGGGAAATGTTGCTGACAGCTGCAGAGGAAGAAGAGCAGAGAGGGAGATACAGATGAATGAAAACAAACAAACATGCAGAGATAAACTAAAGGTAAACCTAAGTGGCACCTATACAGTATATCTGAGATTATTTATTACAGATTAGTATAATTACTTTAATCAAGCATAATGGTAAAAATAGTACACATTTAAAATAAACAATATATATAGTGTTACATGTGTGTAAAACTGTTTTTTATGGAATATCAATAAATAATACAACAATACAATACCGCATAGAATACCACCATGACATTATATATATATAATACTAGTAACAGTACTCATAACAATAATACTTTTCAAAGATATTTCCTCTATTCTAATTCTTAAAAAAAAAATATATATATAACTGTGTTCTAAGTTCGCAAAAAGTTTGGCAATGCATAACATTAAACCAATCAGAAACACTTTATAGAATTTATAGAATATTTTCGACTTCATAAAATGTAGTTAATATATTTAGAACAATGTCTAGATATAACTTCCATCATCGATAACGATCTATTTCCCTGTAACAGCTGAAGAACAGCAAACAACTGTTCCGTGTGTTTTGTACACGCCCTGAAACGTGCGGTTCACCACAGTGTTACTCTCCCTGTTTAATGCTTAGTGCACTGCCATCATGTAGGTTTACGTATTATGGGGAGCTGAAGACTTTACGGGAAATCGCTCAAAACATTTATATTTGTATAATTAAATAAACTGGCCTAATAACAAAACACACTTTAAAAGTCAAATCGCTTTCCTTGAAGGTATAAACCTTTTTCACAGTATTTTCTTTTTCAACAAACATATTTTTTGTCAAACAGGAGCGTAGTCACAGAGCATATATAACATGTGTGTTTTTGTGTTATTGCATCATAGTTCAGGTACACGTCACAAACAATGTTACATAAAAATATAACAAGAATCAGCAGCAGCTTACCTCGCGCTGTCCGGCCTGGACGCTCCTCTGGCTCTGAGTGATCCGTCTCTCTTCTCTGCTCATCCTCAACTGCTTCACTTTCGTTTCAGCCAAATCGGTCCTAAAGGATTTCCTTTTTAATCGCCCCAGGCGCGACATGCTAAACGGAGCGTCGTGTCATTGAGCAACGCCGATCTAACTCTGTTGTGTTTGCGTCATCATTTCAAATTATCATTTAAAAAATGTTAATTTAACAATTCATAGTGTAGAAAAATAAATAAATCTCTTAGTGTTTGTATTGAATGTTCATTCCCCTGAGCATTGGAATATATAAAGTATCAATGGGTCATATTCTTATCCCAGTAACATGTATGGTGTTCATGAGTAACTTTCAATGGTGGAAGGTGTAATCAGATTTTGATCAGATCTCTGTTACAAGTAAAAGTCCTGCATTCAAAATAAAAGCATCAAATTATACTTAAAGTACCAAAAGTCAGAGTACTCATACAAAATGTCTCATTTCTGAAAAATACATATTGTACTACTACTACGATTATGATGCATTGTCACAGCTTAATCTAAAACAAGTTTTGTGTGTATATATATATGTGTGCGTGTAAATCTTCGATTTAGTTTTTTTAATTACATGATTGCCTATTATGTATTAACAGTCTGAATGTGCAAAGTAACTCAAGTTATCAAATAAATGTAGTTTAGTAAAAAAGTAAGATATTGGCCTCCAAATCGTAGTGAATAAAGTAGCATAAAATGGAAATACTCACATAAGGTACAAGTACATCAAAACTATACTTTAGTGACGTAAATATACTACAATCCTCCACTTAAATGAGTGTAACAGAAGGACTTCCCTTTCCACCTTCATGACAAGCAACCGAGACAAGGAAAGGCGGGGGTCAGAGGTCAGAGCGAAGGTGTTTAATAATGAGCCGTAGGAAGTGAGAGAACTCAAGCACTATAAATCAATATCTACCCATTCATACATGAAATGAACATCAAAGCACTTGATATAAACACTTAAAACATTATTTATAGGGTTTTATAGGGATCTTTAGCAAGGCTCTGTAACTTTTGTTGAAAAGTTCTGTTTGAAATGTAGCTCAGCAGTAGTGTAAGTAAAGCAAAGTAAAGCCGTAGCAGGAAAAGCAACGGTGTGTTTGATTGCTTGTGAATTATTTTTTTAATTTGTAAGAGGAACATGGTATTCTGTGTTTTCAGAATACCATAGTTACATAGTCTCACTCTGTGTCGCGTTTAGGACGATCTATTGGCAGGAATGAAATATAATATCAAGGAGCCGACCGCCATGTTTGTACAGTAGTTGTGGTCTGTGTACTCTAATAGTCTTTATAGATTAGGTAGCTAATATGCATTCTAATAAAGAAACACGTTGCTGATTATACAGAAACCTTATTTGTCTTTTGCATTACATAACCAAAACCACATTAAGTGCATCATTACTTAATACTACTGAACCTGTGAACAACCCATAATGTATTATGGCATCTATGGCTCTGGAGTGAGCTTTACACGGTCTGAAAAATATCGCTCATGACGTCGTTTGAAAGGCAGGCGTTTACCGAGCAAGTCGGGCCTTAAAAAAGACACTATTCAGCTGCATTTTGGGAAATGTAGGATCCATCGTTTTTGGAGCTTGACCCACCCTCCGAATAACACACATAATTACTGACGTTTCACTGTTGAGATTATCAGAGGGTCAGTGCTTCCATCTTCAATAACATGCACAATGAAATAGGGGTAGATCCCTTCAGTGAACGCACACTCGGTAAACGAGTAGATGTGAGATTGAGCCGTCACGTCGTAGAAGGACACGAGGCCTTCCTCGTAGTCCACAAACACTCCCACCTTCTGTGGTTTCTCTTTCAGGGGAAGACCAACCGGCGGATTTGTCAGGGCGGCGAACTTGTTTGTAGAATGTTCAGCAACCCAGTAGCCGTTATCTGGGCACATCAAGAGTTTCCCCTTGCATTGTGCATCACCTGTCGCTACACCGAGACTCCATCCGGTCTTGTTGCTGACAACAACCTCCCAGTACGACTTCCCAGAGGTCATTCTGTTGAGGCCCAGGACGCTGCCAAACCTCCGCAAAGCTCCCTGGGTCCCTCCTCTGCTACTCAGTCTCTTCCCGTCAGCAGAAACGAGGCATTCGTATGGGGTGGTTGGATCCAGCTCTACATCCACTACAGTTAAGATAAAACAACAACTTAACACTTACAGAACTCTGCTAATATCCAGAAGAGTCACACCCGCTGCAGCACATTCATTCTTGCCTATCTAAGTATTTTAGATGATTTCCTTTTGTCCACATTTAGTTGTACATATTCTAAAATGGATTAAATGCACTTTTTTTATTCCAAATTGGGTCAATATCGCAGATACATACTGGGTTAACTTAGCCCAGTAACCTTGGATAGAAAACCATTTGGTCAACAATCAAATCCAAAACAATTTTTATACAATTCTAAACACGCACCTGCAAAATTGGAAATCCATTCAAGTTCTGTTTGGGGGAAATAAATACATAATTTTGTTAGTTAATTAATGACGATAAATTGAAAGTATTTGAACGCAATACAAACGTAATAAAATTAGACATTGGGTAAACTTATGGACTCACCAATAACTGCAAGTTTCTCCAGTTTCTGTTGAATTTCTTTCATCATGGTTGACGTTGTAGTTCTCAGCTTGGAGAACGAACGGTTGAGGGACTTCCGCTTGGCATCCTCCGCAACTCTCACCACCTCCGAGAACATACTGTTGATCTCCAGCCACTCAGCTTCCAAGTTGCCCTAAAAACAAAAAAATGCAGCGCTTTGGTGTTCAATCCTATTTTGGGAGAATTTACAAAAATACAAAACTAATAAGTTCAAAATGACGCAGCTCACCTTACAGGCTTTTACAGATGATCTGGCTTGAGCCACCTTTTGTTCTCTCATCTGGATTTCCTGCTTCATGTCAACTCTGATTCTGTCTTGCCTCACCTTGAAATATTTTTCCCCAAAAAAAAGCTTTAAGCACTTATGTCCAGGCAGCCATTCAATCATTCAAGTACTCACCAAATATAAAGCAGGAGACAGCTTGGTTTGAACATATTAAAGAATGAATTTCAAGTATTTCTGTCTGTGGTTTAACAGTTCTTAGTAGTCATTTTAGAAAATTGACTATTAAAACTAAACAATAAACCCAAAGGGACGCCCCTTTGGATGGACTTTTGACAACACGGCTCTAATAGCTGTAAGCTTCTGGGCTAATAGCTTCACTGACAAAACTCTACACCTGACAGGCATCGAGCAGTAATAATACAATAATGATTGAAGTAATTTGCCTATTTAAATAGCGGTGCATTTCACAAATCCGAAAAATGTTAAGCAAAGAAAAAAAAAAGATTAAATAGCTGAGAAAGTGCCTGAAATTACTACATATCTGTGTCTAAAACGTGATATATTGTTAACTACCTCTGATAATGTTTGAGCCCTCCTGTCGTTCTCCCGAGGTCGGACTACTTCTGGCCGAGGTGGAACAGTTGGACGCTCCCTGACCAATCTATTCCCCTGAAAGAAAGAGAAGAAGATTTAAATTCCATCTACACTGAATCATCCCACAAAACAATCTGCCTTACCTGCACACCAGTGGAGGAATCCTGCAGCTGACGGATTAACTTTGTGATTGTGTTCGTTTGGGAAGAGCGCCGCGTAGGTGGAGGAACTATCGTGAGAGAACATAATCATTCTCTATCCAAGCTTCCTTATTTTTCAGATTGTTGTGCAAAATATTGTATCGCCTGAACAACAATATTGTACATACGTGGTTTGTTTTCCAGCTTGATTTTTCTGGTTATTTCTGCGTTGGTGGTATAGCTGTTGGGTGTCGGTGACAATGGCTCTCTCTGTCAGGATAAGATGGAAAGTTTAAAGTAAGTTGAACTTACTTACATCAAGGTCCAAATACCAGTGGCAGCTGTTCATTTTACAGGTGGTAACAGATATGTCATTGTTTTGTTTTTTAAGCATTTGGTCATAAATTAAAGTATTGAAGCAAATGCAACGCGAATGTCTGCACAAAGCAGAGCACGGCTGAAATTACGACTTTCCCACCTGAACGTTGACTGGTTTCCCTAAACCTCCCTCTTGCAATCTGCAGCACTGATATACCTGCTTCTTGACGGTCACTGTCTTCGCTGGCTGATGTTTCCATTGATCCACTTCTTCCAACCGATTTTTCCGGACCCACTGCTCTTCCTTCGAGATCCTCACTCCCTTCGGCGTGCATCCCATCTTCCCCTGGTGGATCCTCAGGCCCTGGTAGGTCGTTACTTTGGACCAGCCGCAGTGACATTCCTGGTGGCTCACGTCTGAATATGTTTGAAGATTTAATTTTGATCACATTCATTTTTGGAAGATTTTGGGAGGGAATGAACAAAATGTGTACTCTGGAATCAGTGCAAAACTCACCGTTCTTGATAGGGGTGTAAACATCCTGATGAAAGTCCTTTTGATAGTCTGCGAGTCCCCCCACGTACGGCTGGCCCTGGAGGCTCACATCTGAAGAGTAGTCTGCTGTGTATGTTTGAGATGCAATTCAAGATTTAGTTTTGATCACATCCATTTTTGGAAGATTTTGGGTGGGAAAAACACTTTTTTGTTTCTTTTGGAGTGCACTGGAATGAATTAAATGTGTACTCTGAAATCAGTGCAAAACTCACTGTTCTTGATAGGGGTGTAGACATCCAGGTTGAAGTCCTTTTGATAGTCTGCGTGTCCCCCCACATACGGCTGTCCGTATTGTTCACCCTTCTGCCCCCTCGCCGTGCATCCCATCCTCCCCTGGTGGATCCTCAGGCCCTGGTAGGTCGTTACTTTGGACCAGCCGCAGTGACATTCCTGGAGGCTCATGTCTAATGTGTTGAGTATCTGTAGAAGTTAAACACACATTTTAAACCATCAGAGATGGGATTTCTTTCTCATGCATTCTGCTGTTATGTAACAGTGACAGTGACCAATAGTGTCGGAGGCTCCTTTCTGTATAAAACATATTACCACACATCTTACTGTTAATATGGAGAATACTGAATATTTGAAATATATTATTAAAATTGTTTAATTGGCAATCAACGAAACGATTGTTTTCAAGTCATGTATGAATAAATAAAATGACAAACATGTTCTATGTAAACTAAATAACTTTAGAGTTGTTTTTGTTGTCCAACACATACATTATAAAAGCAGAGCAAATATTAGAAAGCTCACCTCATAAATACAGGTCTTTTTATCTAAATGATATACTGGTGAAAACTCAAGTCACTTTAAAACAAGGAAATTACTTTTCGTCTTGGGGTGAATAAAATAGCTAAACATTCCCTGATCTGGATGTTTGGTTTTTTTGAGTCATCCTAATTTACTGCTGAGAGTCATGATGATGCATGTCCTGTTCTGTTCTCAATTACTTTAAAGACTTTCATTACATCGTGTGCTGACTGCAACTGCCCCAGCACCTCTACCTCATCCAGGAAATCGACCTATTTGTCTTTTAAAAAAACAAACATTAAATGATGTCCCCTGGAATAAAACCGTTGTGATTAAATGTACCAGTCAGCTGTAGTTCTAATAAGTATATTATATGTAGCTCTAATAATGTAAAGACTGTCATAATGTAAATGGAATAAAAGCCCATGATGTAATAATAATCAGCACATAGTGTAAGAAAAGCATGAACAGTTTTGTGCATAATATACTGAGTTATAACATTATAAGAAAAATATGACATTATAAACTAAGATAATGTTGTATACTCTCTTCTTAAAGCGGAACCTAACAAGTTGTACATGATCCCCTGAGCTAAAGATTTTTTTATGTTTTGAGAACCTTTACGGAAATGATACTTAATTTAATATAGCTACTGGCTGTTTCTTCGTATGTAAAATGATAAATTGATTTATATAATGATTCAAGTTACTTTAATTTAAGCGAGCACGTGAAAGGAGCGCACATAACTGTCTCCATTCATCCACCCATCCGGAAAACAATTCCTCGCGAGGGAGCATTTCTGCAAATAAAAACCTAACTAAAGGAACTGGAGCTCCTTTTGTAACTACATTAACATTATATTACATTAGCGTGACACTGACCAGCAGCTCAGTCAGTTTAGAGTTGTAAAGGCTGCTAATAAGGTCGCTGCATGTTTTTTTTTTTTTAAATGAATGTTAATCAGCATTAGAAAGACCATCAGATAAGAACATGTATCGTTGCCTACCTTTAGTTGTTCTCCTGGGTTCTGTTTCTACTAGAGATGGATTTGTCCTCTCCGTCACGAGGGCAATATTCCTCTTTCAGTTTCGTTTCTTTAAAAAAAGGAAATGCGCTAACAGCCCCCTTTCTCTGCGCCCAGATGTGTCTCAGCCACACTGTTGCGCAATACAACTCAGTATGTTGGATTGAGTAAGTCAGACATTTATAAAAAAGAAAGATTAAATGTGATTAAATGTGATCACTTTTTATTTATTCATTTTAGATTAAAACAAGTTCATTACAGCACATTTAGTAAATAATCAGGCTACATTGTATGCCCAGTGGTATATGGCCCCCCATCACCTTCATAATAAGATTACCAACAATCCCAAAGTCCGTGTGTCTCTTGATTTCACACATTGTTAGTGAAGAAGTCTGATAAGTCTTGTATTTATCAAGTTCATAGAAGGTTGGATAAAAATAAGGATAAACCCATTAATGCATTTAAACCACTGAATGTATATCAGACTTTCATTTTTTCCATAACCATAGAAAACAGACATTTTTAACTTCCATTATAGACATTTTAAACGGTTGTTGCTGTATTTCTGGTCAACACTTTAACCTGAAGTAAGTCAGTACACAAGGTATATTGTATCTAGCCACAAAGGACAGGTTTCCCCACAAATTCCCCCTCCACATTCTAAAAAAACATGTTTTGACTGCCCACACACTCTTCATGACATGTCCATCTCCTGCTTACAATCATTGTAAGCAGAAATAATCAAAGGATCAGCGTTTTTCTCATCTGTTTTTACATGTGGACTGAAATATGGCAGGAGGTCGTCACTGAGGTCATCACTGAACGAACCCTTCGTAAACGAGTAGATGTGAGATTTAGCCGTCAAATCGTAGAAGGACACGAGACCTTTCTCTGTGTCCACAAACACCCCGACCTTCTCAGGTTTCTCTTTCAGGGAAAGACCAACTGGCGGCGCCGTCATAGCTGCGTACTTTTCCTCCTCATAATGTACGATGACCCAGTAACCGTTATCTGGGTTCAGCGAGAGACTCCCCTTGCGGTTTGCGTCGCTTCTCGCCACACCCAGGTCCCACCCTGTCTTGTTGCTGACCTCCACCTCCCAGAATGATTTCCCTGAGGACAACGTGTCGAGCCCCAGGATGCTCGCAAACAGATCAAACCTCTCCGGAGCGTCATCTACTTCTTGGTCCTCCCCTTCGTCTCTCACTTCCTTCCCATCATCAGAGACAACAAGCCGCCGGTGAGCGGTGGTTGGGTCCAGCTTCACGTCCACTATTAATCACAAAGTTAAAATCAACAAAAGATCTGAACACAAAAGTCTGCTTCTTGGAAGTAAAAAATTAAATCACATACCTCTAAACTTTGGAAGTCTCTGAAGTTCTGTGAAGTGAAGAAAAACAATAAGGCGACATTCAAGCTTTTAACATTTACCACCATGAATTAATTCCTACCAGTGGAGGCCAGCTCCTCAAGTCTCTGTTGAATTTGTTCCAACATGGTTGTTGTGGTTTTTCTCAAGGTGCCAAAAGACAGTGATGTGTCGAGCTCTACCCCTGTTGAGTCTTTGAGGTTGTCCAGCTTTTGAAGAGATGGGTACTCCTGAGGAAGGGAGAAAGAAAGAGGAGATCTAATCACACAAGCCACAAGTAGCTGGACTGTTGTGTCCAGCTCTTCAACAGACACAGCTTGTCTTCATCTGTTGAACGTGTACATGTTTCTCTTACCTGAAGGAAAAGGATGTGATCCTCAAGTGCAGATATGTTGTCCAGCTCAGAGATGGTTTTCTCAAGACTGTTGATCTCAGCTTCCAAATCGTCTTTGATGCTTTTTGCCTCTTTCTTCACATCTTCTCTCTTCTCCTCCAGTGGCTTAAGAGCTGTCGCTCGGGCTTCCTCCACAATGGCAGAAACAGCTGTGAACACATTGTCAATATCCCACCACTCAGTCTCCAGCTGGTCCTGAAAATAGGTTAGGGTTAAAGGGTTAGGGCAAGCATTGGTATTTGACCTCCTTTTTTCTCTTTTATAAACTGCTCTTTGATGTTGACAACACAACACTCGTCACAATTTGACTCAATCTAAATTTAACCCTTTTACAGTGTTTTCAGTTCATGAAAGTTAATTGTATTATTTTGGTTGCCTGAAAATGTCCTTTTCAGCATTCGGTTGTACTTCTGGTTGCAAAAAGCCAAGATGGCGTCGGCCAAAAGGCCGAACTCGAGGCTTCAAAACTGCAGTCCACAAACCAATGGGGGAAGTCATGGTGACTACGTCCATTTCTTATATAGTCTGTGTTCGTGTGAGACACTCTTAAATACTAATTAGTTGTTCTATTTAACATACTGTTTGGCAACGTGCTCGGACAGTTTTGACGGACAGGTCTGATTGTTTTTTTGCAATCCAGGTCGACCCAGGTCCAGTAACCTATGTCTTGCAGCTCACCTTGCAGTTCTTTAGAGACGTATCAGTCTCGTCCATCCGTGTTTTTCTCTTCATAATTTTCTCTTTTAACTCTGTCTTTGTGCTGTCAAGCTTGGCCTGTTGTAAACAAAAAAGGCAAGTCAGTATTCAAACTTCAAACACCCGTCTCATCATATGTGCACCTCATTTTGGTGTGTTTGCCACTCAATCAATTTGTCCGATATACCATGATATATTTCAGTAAATACACAATGCTGTCAATACTCAAATCACAAACGTATAGAGCCTTCCATATGTTAATTCACCTTCTTCTTGTGCCATTCGACTTCAATAGAAACAATCTCCTCCTGACCTTCTTCAATGCAAAGTGCACAAATGCACCTCTCCATCTTCCTGCTGTACAGCTCCAAGGGGCGTCCGTGCTGCAAGCAGGCTCTATCATCCAGGTTTTTCACAGGTTCCACCAATTTGTGGCCCTTCAACCTTTTAGTTGAGGAATGGTTCTTCAGGTGCTGCAAACAATATGAGGCAAGACACACAAGACAGGACTTCTTGGCCTTCAGCTTTCTCTCTGTGCAAATGTCACAGGCCACTTGGCCGGTAGCCCCAGTGTACTCATCAGGGTCTTTCTTATTCATCTGTTCGACAATGTTTCTCAGGACGATGTTAACATGTGGGGTTTTCGTCAGATCCTCCTTGCATAGGGGGCACCTCTTTTCAGTGTATTTACAGGTGTGGTCCAGACATGTATTACAAAAGGAGTGGCCACAAGCTGTAGTGACAGGATCCACAAATAGATCCAGGCAGATGGAGCATATCAGTTGCTTCTCCAGTGAGTTGGTCTCGCAGGGTGACGCTTTAGCGGAGGCCATGTCTGCTTAGAGAGAGCATCATGAGGTTACTCACTTGGAAATGTAATAGGTCTTAGATTATTATATTGTTTTCTTGCATTTTAGAGATTTTTTTGCTTTGCATTTTGTTGTACTTAAATATTCGACTAAATGTTCGAAGAATAACTGATTACTTAAAGCAAGGAGACGATGTAACTTTTGTCAAACAAGAATAATTTGTTATTTCTCAGCTATTGATAAAGTTCTGCAGGAATGACTCCTTAATCACAGAAATTAGTTAGAATTTTTGCAAGTTTTTTTTAAAAGTTTGTTTTGGCTAGATGCCTGAAATAAGGTCTGTGGTTAATTAACACAATCTCATCAGATTTTAATATTTTGTTCTATAATATAAAAGCAACCCTTCTAGTGACGTTTGAAGCTTGTCAGTGTCATATAAAAGGTGGTTGCTAACAAGAGGCTAAATGAGACTACAAAGCGGCATCAAAACAAACAGTCCGCCTTTACAGCCTCGTTGTTCGTACTCGCTCCCGTGTTATCGAAAACTCTTTACTTTGCCGATTGAAGTCAGGCTTTAAAAATCATAAAAGTGGTGTTCATGTGGTGGTCATTTGTGAAGATGACTTTACATAACAAAACGTGTAAGTATCTTAAACATTTGCTTGCCACAGAGCTTATTTTCTGTCATAATCCAAAATGGAGTGGGAAAATCCCATTGGCATTTTGTCAAGGTAACCAGCCGTGTGTGTGTGTGTGTGTGTGTGTGTGTGTGTTAGATCCCATTGGCAGAAAACTACTAAGGTGGTCGGACTTGCGTGATGAACAAACCACGAGTGTAATCATAAGTAATAACCCTGTCACAATAACCACAGGCACATTTTGAAGCTAAGTGCATTACATTGTACAATATTTAAATAATACCCGTAAAAAACAATCAAAACAAAAGGTTAAAGCCGTAAAGTAATAATTGAAAATGTTTGTCACTTTAAAAGAGAAACATTTTAAAGAAAGTAATATGATGGAGTAGAGTGTGATGTTACCTTTCAGCTAATTATGGTCCGTGTCTCTTTCTGTCTCCACTCTCGTGTCTCTCTCTGTGTGTGTGTGTGTGCGCGTTTCCTTCCTCGGGCCAGCCTCCCTATGTTAAGTTTCATTTCTGTTCAAAAGATCTGGCAGTCAATTCTTGTTTTCAAAGAGGCGTGTACAAAGGCAAATGTGTAACCAAATCACCTGTCTGTAGGCTGAAGGGTGTGTTGCATGTTGAACAAGTTCACACACATCCAATATTGACTTCCCAAAAGGTTTCGCTGGGACAAAATGACGTTTTGTGTGTACAACTCTGTCTATTACTCAATGTTGGACTGGTTGACTGAAAGGGATCAAAGTATTTGAGGCCAAAGTGTAACTCCACCAAAACCAAAAAAGTATGATTTGTGTTGTTTTTACTTAAATGCACTTTATTGTTCAGCATGAATACAGTGTTTTGGGTTTTGACATTTTATTAAAAAAAGGACAAAAATACATTTAAACACTGAAATACTGCCCGGCATGGAAGCTCACATTATCCTTAAAATAAATCACATCATCCACTCAGGCTTAAGTTACACCCACACAATATATTCTCAATGAGTTATTGGCCATTGAGCTTTTTATTTTAATTACTGGACTTAAGCAAGTAGTTCCTGAGATTTACTGTTCCTTTAAATCTGTTCAAATCATTGTTTTAAGTGCACATCATTATTGTTTAAAAAAAGAAACTATGCTAAACAGCTCAACAAGGAATTGCATTCAAATTAATCAGTTAAAGCAATACGCTTATTTGCTTTCTGGCGGGAGTTGGTTGAGAAGAACACACAGTTAGCTTAGCATAGTTTGGCATAAACACTGGAAACACGGGGAACAGATTATCTGTTCAAAGATTATTTGATTTGCCGCCCAGCCCTTGTAAAGCTCACTAATTAACACTTTTTATCTTGTTTGTTTAACCCCTACAAAAAACAATGTGAAAAAAAGACAATTTGCCATTTTCGGGGGATTATGTCCCAAACTATATCCTCCACCAGAAAGTCTAGAAGTATATTTCCCAACTATTGGTTTTGAAGCAAACACACCTTCCAACTAATTCTGCTGTTGTGAATTATTCAAACACAACAATAACTATTTAAACATGAAGGTGTCAGTCCACGAGGCAGTGTGCAGAAATGTCTGTAGAGACAAGAGGAGAGACTACATTGAGAGCAGTGTTTAAGGTCACATATATTGCTCTTTGAAACATGTGATTTCACTGAATGATTTGTGATCAGGTGACTTTTGACCATGAAGCAGACCTGTAGGAAGTGGAGGTCATCTTCAGTCTGCGAGAGCTGCTCCAGCTCGGTGCTTCTGCTCTGCAGCTCTGAGATCTCTTCCTCCAGTTGTCTGATGAGCTCTTTTTGTGCCCATGCCTCTTTGGGATGTTTTTCACTGAGGCCTACAGAGAGATTCATTCTCTCAACTTTACTCAGTCTCTCCTGAATGGCTTGCTGAAGTTTCATCCTTCTCCATTTTACTTTAACCTGTGGGGGAAAAAATAATAATAATTTAAAGCCAATGTTCAATGTCTTTGTTGCATTGATCTGTCAACATGTTAGAATCCTGACCACAACCCCATCACTGGTGTCAATTTGAGCTTATATTCCTTTGGCAGCTGATTCAAAACAGACCTGCTCTCAAAGACATGTTTCTTTTGTCATTTTAACGGTGGTATTTTTGTATAAATATCTGATGAAATTAGAAGCTTTTATAAATAATTGTCATACACAGTGGTTTTTCCTTTTGTTTCGTGCAATTAAGAACTGACGTTTTCTGAATGTTGTAACTTACACAATCATAGAAATGTTGTTTAAACTTCCCCCTCAACATTCTGTTGTTTTCTCTCTCACTTTACTGAATTGTTCAAACACAATATGCCCTGACGAGAATTTGCTGAGCAGGCTTTTGAGCACCCTCATCAACATGAAAAAGTAAACACGTATGCAAACTGATATCGCATACATTTTTTTTGAAAAGCATTAAAGGCTTTGAGTATTCTGCATTGATTTAATGCATTACCTGTTAATGGAAAAACATATTCTGGAGTGACATAAAGAACACAGCATCAGCCTGGTCTCCTACAAATGATGTTCCAATACAGTGACAGTGCATTGAGAATTACATCTCGAGGGAAACTTATTTTGGCGTTAATTACGTTTCCTTGTGACGTGTCACAAATAAGCTTCAAAGGAGTGGGTGGAAGTCAGCATGTGGGGGATGGGTCAAACAACACAGGGCTTTACCCAGAAGACTGCTGTTCGTGTCCTGCATACATTTTAAGACAAACCACGATCTCTTGTATTAAAACCTAACCAAGTGGTATTGTTGCTTAAACCTAGCAAAGTAGATTTGTGGCATTTTGAGAGACACAAGTTTTAGCGATATGGAATTTAGCTGAACAGTAGTTGCTGTGCCACAAGTAGAGAAGCATCATAATGTCAACAAACTATCCGCAGAGTATACCTCAAGTTTGCTTACACTTGTATGGCCAGTGTGTGTGATGTAGGTGTGTTTTATTGCTTGGGAATTCAACTTCTTATTTGTGAGAGCAACACCGTGTTATTTCTCCTCTCAGAAGTTACATCTGATAAACTTCACCCTGCAACTTTGAATGAGTTGCAAATGTCCAATGTTTGGGCAGAGAAAATATGAAATTTGAATAGCAATATGCAAATTCTCCTAGTGTTTACCAACAATAACCTAACTCTTTCATGTTTACCGGGGTAGTGGTTTTATTAGACGTTACCTTCTTCTTTGTAGCTTCCCTGTTGATAGAAATAATGTGGTGGCCCCTGTGTTCTGTCTGGGCACACATGGCACAGATGCACGTTCGATCGCTCCTGCAGAACTTGTTTAACTGCTTCCCGTGCAGTCGACACACAGAGTCCTCCAGGTTCTTCACCACACTGATCAGGAGATGGCGCCCAAGGTCTTCTCTCAGGTAATGTGGCTCCAGATGAGCGGCGCAGTACGAGGCCAGGCACACCAGGCAGGACTTGACTGCCCTATGCTTCGCCGGGCAGAGATCACAGGGCACCTCTCCAGCTTTTAAAGGCACAGCGGCCTCCTCGGTCGGGGCACCGGCATGAGGCGTTTGGGCTGTTTTGAGCTGCGGCCTTGTGGGGAAAAAGGCCTTGCAGAGTGGGCACTGACAGGCCCCGTGGATCCTCCAGTATTCGCCTATACATCCTAGGCAGAAGCAGTGTCCACAGGGCAGGGAAGCAGGCCTGGTGAACTCATCCAGACAGATGCAGCACTTCGGAGGCTCGGACATTAGGTCTTTGCGTGTGTGTGCACGTACATGCATGCGACCTCCGGTCCGATTCGGTGTGGTATCAGCATCCACCGATGATGGTGTATTCCATTGGCTGTTTGAATCGGTACAGAAAATAAAGACTTATATTAGCGCACATTTGAATTTCAGTACTTCTTCATTAATTTGGCTTTGATGGCAGGATCCCAAAACAGCTGACCAGGGATCTTTGTATGGCTTCTCTCCAATTGCTTTGAATATATTGGTTGTTGCTTTATGTTTTTGATGGTAAAGTAACGCCTTACATTTTTAAAAACCCATAAAAACCCAAATTCTGAATGTGCTGCATGTCTACAGAATGCTCCTAGAACCTGAATGAAGCTCAAGCGTAAGTTCAGTCAGGAAGACTATACTCTTGCATGCTCGCACATTATTTCCTTGCTATCATTGTTCGGAGCTGTCGATCATGATATCAGCTGTTTAGATCAGCTGCATGTTGTCCTTTATCCAATAGCACAACGACACCGTTAGCCTATCATCGTGCTGCTGTCTCTTTTACATATGATCGTCTCTCTACCTTCAGTACGTTCATGTTGCTGTTACGCAACCCTCCACCTCCCCATCTCTGTCCAGTCTTCACAGATGCATCATCTTCATCAACTCATTATTCTATCAGCCTCATGAGCCACCACCACCACCAGTTCCTGGACTTCACGGGGGGTGGGGGGGTGTTATCTTGCTGCGGCTCAGGGCACACGCCCCTCGATTACAAATCTCCAAGTCCAAGCGCCAAAGACTCATCATCTGTTAATAATAAACTATTATCTTTTCTTTATCTGACTTGTCTCTCCTGGTTGAAATAATAGCGGCATATTGCACATGTCCTCATGACCCATATAGAATTCATTACATTGTTATATTCTGAATAATAATAGTGGATTACCAGTGTGTATGTAGAGATAGTGAGTGCTCCGGTTTCCTCCCACACTCCTGATTTGGACAATAATCATGTTGAATTGCATATCTGGTGTGTAGGTAACTTACAATAAATAGTTGTAAGACAGACGATGCTGATTAGTTGACCTCAATACACACACACACACACACACACAAGCGTTTTGGAACTGCTGACAGAGGTTATATACAACAAAGGGAGGGAGGAAGGTTATACAGAAATAGATCTACAAAGAAATGTATTTATTTCCTGTGTTTAATTTTGGGCCCTGACACACAGCATAAGTACCATTTGTCCTTTGTTGGTGGGAAAATAGTCCCTCAACAAGCACAAGCCAAAACATCTGAAATGAATACATACATACAGAGTGGAGGATCCTACGTCAGAGCCACCAGGTAATTTCAAACTATTGCACATCCCGTGGCCAATCAGAATCGAGACACTGGTAAAAGTTTCATTCGAGATGGCTAGTTGATTGCTACATACTGTAAAAGAATTTACTGTAGAAACCTGGTTGTGGATTTATAATTTGAGGTGTCTGTCTAAAGTGTCTGGAAGTGAAACTGACTCACTCATAACATACATGACCTTTAAACAATGTGACGTTTAATGATCAGCACGCAGCTTGTCACTTCCATTTGTAAAAAATAGATCAAAACTTTTGAATACTGGAACGATTAAATTGAAATGTAAAACTTGCATACCTGTCTCGAGCAACTACCAGCTTGTCTCTCCTGAGCCTCTAACGGTGTTGTGTTGCACTCTTATCGGTTCGTTCCTGCATAGGTTGAGACACACCTATCCCTGCTGGGAAAGAGGTTGGCCCTGTTGGAATTGGTCATTTCCTGTGTGCTCATAAACTCATGCTCACCTGATAGAGCAGGAGAAGCTCCAAAAAAAGGGCAACAAAAACCACTGAATATGTTTATTTGAGCAGTAATGCAAACACACAGTTAATACCTTATTTCACCTTTATTCAAATGGAAAAAAAACATGTTCAGAGAATATTAAAATAAAAAGAGACAACTTGTTGTGTCTTGACAGCATTGTAAAATCATTGAACCTGTAGTTGATTACACCTTCACCTGATAAGGAGTCCTTGGCATTCATTTTAATGACAACATCATCCGACTTATGTAACATGCAAGAACTAACGAATGAATGAACTACTGTAAGAAACAACCATCATGGCAAAATGTTAACTAAGGTCATCTGCCATCTATCAAAACTGCATAGGAGGAATTGGGTGCTTTTGACAGGGTTCCCCAAATGACCCATGGATGTATAAAGAGAACTGGATGCAGGGCCCATCGTTCATTTCAATGACAGCTGCTCATGAATGAAGCAGAAAAAGTTTGACTTCCGAGTTAAAAGTTCAGATAAAATTACCAGGATCTTTCCCTCCCTCCTAGCCCTCATTCCAGTCTCCCTGGGGGCTTGCCAAGACCCCAATTAGTGTTTTAAAAAAGCACTCCTTAAAACAGAAAGAGAAAACTATTATGTGAAGTCATTAAGAACAAATTGATTGACAAATCATGAAAAAATAGGAATGATAGAACAAAACAAAAGATGAAGCTCCGGGGTCTGTGAGGGGCCCAGTTGGTTCGATTAAAATTGTTGTAAATTGACTGTTTTCTAAACCTCTCCTCAGAACAGCAGACTTTTTAATTTTAAAAGTTTTCATTTAAAAATGTGACATCAGCCTTCTTCGGATTGTTTCCATCAGATTACTTCAATACTTTAATATTAATATGTCTTTAAGGACATGTGGTGGGTTTTTAAGGGTTTAATCTTATACGGGTTGTGAGCTCTGACCTCACAGCAAATTAAACGTGTCAGTTATTATTTATCTTGTTATGCTGTGTTCACACCAAACGCTGCGCGGATAGATTACATACAAAGTCTATGCACAGACGAGACTGGATTGACGCAAATTAGTTGCACAATCCCACGTGAAGTATTTCATGTGTTGTAAAGCCACGTTTAGTCTTCAATGTACTCACAATACATTTCCATTTCAAATGTACAGTAACCAGCCAAAGAGCTGCTTCTGTGACTGTGTGTTTAAGTATCTTATAATTATGACTTTCTATCTCATAACTTCGACTTTCTATCATAGTTATGACTTTCTATCTCAGAATTATGACTTTCTATCATAATTATGACTTTCTATCTCATCATTTCGACTACGGAGATATTTTTATTACCAAGACTAATTTTTAATTTTTTCAATTTTAATTTGTTTTTAATTTTATTTTTTTTTGCTGGCGGATTCGCGGGCCACATAAAATGATGTGGCGGGCCCCTGGTCTAGCGTGATTCACGCGAATGACTCGCGGGGCACTAATGACCCGATGCGTCGCCTTCGGTGTGTAAGGTGTGTAGGGCGCTTTAGAGGACGCAGATTAAAGAAAGGTGGGTAATCTTCCATAGATCTAATGACCAAAGTCTCCGATTTCTTGCCGCAGCTGTACAGATAGAAGTACGGGAACAGCTTCTCTGTGAAAGACTCTCCTGTGAAAGAATGAATGTGGAACTTTCTATCCACGTCATAGAAAGAGACTCTGCCTTCATCATAGTCCACATAGACTCCTACATTTCTTGGCCAGGGACACAGGTGAAGGGCCGTGTAGGATGTACATTGAACTCTATAATCAAAACCCCTCTTTCCTATGGCAAAGAAGCCATTTGCTCTTTCCACTTCGATGCTCTCTTTTCTGTTAACTGTCTCCTTTGCGACACCGACGTCCCAGTTGGTTCTCAGGCCCACCTTGACTTCCCAGTAGTGACGCCCAGAGGTGAAGCCCTCCGTCCCTAGAACCATGGGACAGTGGAACCTCTCTGAGTCATCAGAAGACGAGGGCTTCGCAGTTTTGTTGTACTTCAAATGTTCCCCCAATTCAGACACCACAAGGCAGTGACCAGCCGTGGCTGGGTCAAATGTGACCGATGCTGAAAACATCAAGTTTAGTTAAAACTGTCGTCTTTCGCAATTACAAGTGAATTCAATCAGCAAGAAAAGCTAATTAAATGTGTGATCTCACCGATGTATTGTTTCATCCTGGTCAGTTCTGTCAGAAGTCAAAACACACCTGAGTTATAACTCATAAAAGAAAGACATCTTCACTGATAAGGGTTGCATGCAGCAAGTATTTACCCGTGTCTGTCAGAGTTTGCAGTTTTGATTGGAAAGTGTCCACAAGATGAGTCATGGCTCTCCTCAGCGTCTGCACGCACAGGTCTGAGTCAACCCTGATCTTGGACCAGTCCTTGGTGTCTGATATGATGCTCAGCTCCTGCAGAGTCTGGAATGATTCACAAACATATGATCATGACACGAGGCCATTCATTTTCTTGTAGTCGGGTGTCTTAACACACTTTCTCACTGATTACGTTTACATGCATAATAATATTTCACGATATAGCAATAACCCTTTTGGGATATTCGGTATATAGGCCCTATTCCAAATGTAGCATTTTCCAATTAAGACATATTATTCTGGTTTTAGGAGCATTCTTTGGATATGTACAGCGCATTTAGAATATGCATCTCAGCGTACGCCACAAGGCCTGTTTTTGACCAGCTCTGTGAGTTGTACAAAAATCAACAAGGCAACAGTTTGCGAGGCCGGAGATGCATGTCTAAAAGAAAAGCCCAAATTTCGGGTCGGAAGGAGACTTTTAAACATTATGAAAACCTCAAAAGATTTTTGGATATGTGCAAATATTGCCATGTTATCAGCTTAGGAGGATTCTTTTTTTTTTTGGATTAAAGGGCAAAAAATATTTTGTGCATGTAAAGATACTGTCTCTTTAAATAAATAATTGGACTACTTCCGAAACATATGAAACAATTACTTTGATGAATACGTATGTCATAACTTTGGTCAACTTACAAAGTGTCTTTCCAGGCACCAGACACATAACTTCGCATTGTTTTGCAGATTTTCTGGAAATTCAGAATTTGCGCAACATTTGGATGTAAATTTGTCTACTGAGGGCATTTCTGTCCTATGTTTACATTTCATTTCAGTAGGTACATATAATTTCTGCCCTCATGACCCTTACATTTATTTGATCCCCCGTTATTTACATCAATTGTTTAAATACTATCTGTCGCCTTGACCTATCCTCGTATCGCTCTTCTTTGCGTCTCATCTTAAAGTCGAGCGATCGTACGAACAAAGAAAAGGGGAAAGAAGGGGAGAGGTAATGTGAGCGTTGACTGACCTGCAGGAGGTGAAGGTGGTCGTCACTTTGTGAAAGCTCCTCCAGCTCAGAGTGCATCCTCTGCAGTTGGGCGATCTCCTCCTGCAGCTCTTCAATCATCGCTTCGTCTTTCTCTTGTGATTTAATGAGCTTATCATCGATATTTGCTTTCAGCTTGGTTTGTGCCACTTGAACATGTTTCATCAGAGTATTGAAGAGCTGTTCACTGTCAGCAATCTCTGTATTTGTTTTTTCCTATAAGAATATTAAAATCTTTAGTTCCGATTTATACAAAGGTGTAAAATATGCAAAATTTCCCCAAAGCACTCACTCTGCTCATTACAGAAGCGTCTGTGAATTCCTTTATCTTTTCCATCCTGTCCTCAATCATCAATTTGATCTTTGCTTTCTTGGACTCAACATTTTCCTAAAATATAGAATTTCAAGACAGAAGGGTGATCAAGCCAGTCAGTCCGTAATACTTCAGGTCCTGAGGCATTTGACAAAAGAAACCCGCTTACTTTCTGTTGAGCCACTTCTTCTTCTATGGGCACCGTGTCGTGGTACTTGTGGTCCGTCTCGCTGCACAGCAGACAGATGCACACCTGTTCATCCCTGCAAAAAAGCTCCAGGACCCTCTTGTGCTTCCCGCACATCCTCTCCTCCAGGTTCTCCAGCGGGTCCACAAGCGTGTGTGTCATCAGGGAGGGAACTCTTTGGTGGGGCTCCAGGTGGGCCTCACAGTACGACGTCAGACACACCAGGCAGGACTTCAGGGCCTTGAACTTCATTTCCTTGCAAATGTCGCACTTCACCCGCCATGGCGCGTCTGCGCTTTCGGTTGCCTCGACTTTCTGCCTCTTTATCTGGACGGAAATCTCCTCAATGACCGTGTTTGTGGAGATCTGAGGCCTCACGTGGAATCTTTTGTGACACATCGGGCAGCTGCACGAATCACTCTTGTCCCACTGCTCGCTGAGGCAGGTCTTGCAGAAGTTGTGACCACAAGGAGTGGTTACCGGGTCGCTGAAGACCTTGAGACAGATCGGGCACTGGAAGTGATCCTCCGGCAATGACGCAAAAACACTGAATGATGACATTGTAGTATCTCTGTCGGAGAATATGTGAATAATATGCTTTATATGTTCTTTTGGGTTTTGCCTTGTACATTACATTACATGACATTACATTACATTAGTCATTTAGCAGACGCTTTTATCCAAAGCGACTTACAATAAGTGTATTCAACAGGTATTCAACATCTCCTTTTAAACAAGCATCTAAGAGCATAAACCAGAGCAAAAGTACAGAAACAAACTAATACGAATACAGAATACAGACACAAAAATGTGGGGTGTAATGGAAAATGTCTTGTACTTTTGCTCTGAACTCAGTAGATCTTCATCCTTTGTGTTAACATACGTGCTCAAATGTATCTTGCTGTTTGTATAATGGAAACTTGATATTCTTATAAGTAGAACTGTGTTATATACTGCAGCAGCTGACTGCCTGCACCCATATCCTCTTGTTCTGTGTTGGATAACAATACCTATTGTATATTCACATGTCCTATGCCTTAAGGATAAAATGTCTGTGTCTGTTGTTAGACAGGTAAAGCACCTCTTACACTTTGCTACCATGGCCTGCACAGCCTGAAACAGGATGTTCCAGTACACAGGCCCCAACCCTTGTTCACTATGACTCCTTGTGATTTTTTACTTCCGTAGTGCACACTTCTACAGAGTCTGAGTGACTATGTGTAACTGTGCCTCTTCTCTGGCTAGAGAATAAATACTTTTAAAAGACAAGTTATGTTTGACAATATTCTTCATTTCAGCTTAAAAAGACTCAACACCCACCACAGGGGTCAAAAAGTCTTCTGCATCAAGTCTATTTTAAGGCTGTCTACAAAGCGAATCCTGACCTGCCCGATGAGTCATCTTCACGTGAATCCGCTTGCACATCTTAATCTTGCATCACATTCTTATGAGCAAAGCAAAACAAAAAACAAAAACTGCTAAATTTATCGTAAAAATGACTTACATGACTCTCTGTAGTTCTTCTGTGTATCCCAGAGGCCTAAACTGTCTCTCACACGCACAATCACGCGCTGTAATTATGGCACCACAAACATTCCAATACTCATCATCGTCTCGAGACGATTCCCGAGAAGCTTCACCTGCTGTAGTGGGTGGGGCCAAGTGACATCATTTTACTGAAATTAAACTTAACAGTATTTCCCAAAAGTCCATGAAGCCTGAAATAGCGACATTTGGCAATTTGAGTGAACATTTATTGTTCCGAATCATGAACACACTCGTCAGCGCACAACCTTTGCAGCATTAATCACACTTCACTAAACGTCAACATGCAATCATGAAATCGGAGATCTAGAAACACTTTCTTTCAATGGTTTGAAATGTCATGCATTTAGAGGAATAGTTCATTTCAGGGAATACGCGTGTTTGTATCTTGCTGAGAGTTATTAGAGAAGACTAAAACCACTAACGTCTGCATGGTAAATATGGTTAGCTTAGCATAAAGACTAGAAACAGTTGGAAACGGCTAGCCTGGCTCTGTCCAGCGGTTAATTCGCCTACCTAACACCTCTTAAATTCACTAATTAACACATTATATCATGTTTGTTAAATCCATACAAACAAATTCTTGATCATAACACACCAAACATTTATGCTAAGCTAAGCTAACCGCCTGCTAGTTCTATATATTTAGTATACAGGCATGAGAGTGGAAATGATCGTATCTTAACCTCGGCAAGAAAGTCAATACGCATTTTTCCCCCAAAAACTTAAAGGCTTCCATGAGCTGAATACATTAACTGCACCATTAATATAGTTCTTAAACTACCATACAGATAATAAATATACAAATAACATTAGAAGAAACAGAAAATATGTTTTACTTTCATGAGTGTTTTTCTTTTGTGCTCTTTTTACTGTCAAACTTGTCCTTAGCTTTGCTTGATCACACTTTTCTCATTCACCGGACTAATCGCGATGGTATCGGAGGCTTTGTCGCAGCAGTAGAGGTAGAAAAAGGGCAAGATCTTCTCCCTGAATGTATCTTTGAAAGTGTAAATGTGGGTCCAAGCCTTCACATCATAAAAGGACACTTGCCCCTCCTCGTAGTCCACGTACACACCCACTCGCTTGGGCTTGGGGTCGAGGGGGAGCAGTATCGGTGGGGATGTTGATGCCCGGTACCCCTGGCCTTTCTTCATGGCCAGAGCCCAGTAGCCCTGCGTAGTGCTTACAGAGATCCGGCCCTTTCTGTTGACAGAAGACCTGGCCACGCCCATGTACCAGTCGTCCTTGTCCCCCACCTGGACCTCCCAGTAATGTCTCCCCGAGGTGAAGCCCTCACGGCCCATGACGATGACCACTGTGTCGAAGCGCTCGGGGTTTTCCGGGAGGTCCTGCCATGCGCCCAGGTGTCTCACCTGATGTCTGTCCTGAGAAAGCTGCAACCAGGGGTTGGCTGAGTCAGGGTCCAGAGTGATGTCCACTGCAGAGACACGAGACATGACGAGGGATTTAGTTTGTGGAAGAGTTTCAAGATGATTAAAAATATCAAACCAAATGCAAAAAACAAAGGTTTACCTGTATATTTCAGGATCTTCTTGATCTCTGTCAAAGAAACAACAAAATAAACAAAATCAAATCAAACTGAAAAAGTATCAAATACATATTGGAAGGATATAATTGAAATCATACCACTTTCAGCCAGTTTGCCGATCATTTCATGTAGCGTAGCCTCCAGTTTGGCCATTGATCTCCGGATCATACCTACACACATGTCAGTGGGAACGCTGGTCTCAGACCAGTCTTTGACAGACGGAGGAGTGCTAAGGGCTGGGAAGCTCTATGGAGAGATTGAGCACAAGACATGACAACGGCATGTCCACAATTTTATTTGAAAAAAGAGGACATTTTGTAAGTGAAGGTAAAAACAACTACAAGTAGTTACTCTCCTCTTTGCATTGAAAAGCTAGAATGGAAACTATGTAGATGTTAACGGTCCCAAACATCTCAATCATGGATGGATTGGAACCTGAAATTGATTATTTAGCTTTAAAGCGCTCCTTTAAAATCAAAGCGCTCTCTCACCTTCAAGAAGTGAATGTGGTCGGTCCGAGCCACGTTTTCCAAGTCGGTGTTCCTCCTCTTCAGCTCAGCGATCTCCTGCTCCAGTTCAGCGACAAGGCCCTCGGCCCACCTCTCCGTCTGCCGCTGCTTCTCCTCTATCGCCAAAACCAGCTCGGCCTGGGTCTTCTGGATGGAGCGCACCAGCTCTGAGGCCACCTGCGTGCTTTCCTCCACCTCTCTCTGAGCGCTGGCCTTAATCAATTCAGTCAAAATACTGTGTTGAATAATAATCATATGAATTTATTTATTGGCGGTATTAGACTTCTAGTGTACCGGCAAGCTCCGTGACAACAGTGTCTCACTTTGTTTTGTTCCAGAGAGTGTTTGATCTCCTCCACCTTCTTCACTCTGTCCTGGATCATCTGCTGGACGTCTATTTCTGTCTTCTTCAGCTGCGCCTGCACAACATCATTCACATTCACACATTCAAGGCCGATGACAGGCATACACATGCTAATCTTTGCTTTTACAGTCATCATTCTAGTCCTGGTTTTAGAGTCAAAAGCATGCGGCAAGTCCAGTGGAGCTTTCTGATATGAATATTAGACAACTGCCCATGTGCTGCCTATGATCTTCCAAACATAAAATAAAGTTGCGTGTCACTATTGAACCAAAGGTTCATGAGTGCAATTAGATTTAATTTAAAGGTTCAAATGTGTTAAGCCTTTCTTTGACAAGAATATTGTGGTTTATTAAAATGTCTTTGAAATTAAATTGAATTAAATTAAATACAAATTTGAGAAAGATGTAAATCCATCAATTTGATTGGAACTTTAAAAAGTGGGCGGGCATAGAATGTAACTGCGGCTCCTCCCGCTCCCACCTTTTTCTCCATCCATTCTCTCTCCACAGGGACCGTGTAGTGCGCCCGGTGGTCCGTCTCTGTGCAGAGCACGCACACACAGGTCTGATCCCTCTTACAGAAGAGCTCCAGGAGCCGCTCGTGCTTGGGACACATCCTGTCCTCCATGTTGGCGACCGGCTCTATCAGCTTGTGCTTGGTGAACCTGGCGCCGTGGGATTTCAGGTGCTCCTCGCAGTAGGAGGTGAGACACACCAGGCAGGACTTGACCGCCTTGGGCCTGCCGTCCCCCAGGCAAATGTCACAGTATACCTCCTCCCAGAGGGGAGGCAGGAGTGAAGGGGAGGGAGGTGGGGGTGAGGTTTGAGGAGATGAAGAAGCGGGGCTCTGAGGTGAAGGTGGGGGTGATGTTCGGGGCAGCGGAGGCAGAGGAGGCCCCTGGGCTGTGGCTTGGGGTGGCGGTGGCGCAAAGGTTTTGGGTGCTGACACAGAGGGGATCAGAGGTGGTAACTCCTCTGGAAGAGGCTTTTTCTCTCCTGGTTTCTCCCTCTTTCTCCTCTCCTCCTCTTGCTTCTGCTTCAGCTCCTCCAGAAGATGCTGCTTCTGATCTTTCTCCAAAAGCCTCTCCTCATCCTCCTTTTTACTTCTCTCCATCGTCCACTTCCTGTCTCTCTCGTCTTCTTCCTCCTCCTCGCGCTCCCTTTCCTCCACACTTCTAACCCTGATCTCCTTGAACTGATCCGCAATTTCCCTCAGGACCGTGTTGATGCAAATATCGGGCCTTTTGTAGAAGGACTTTTTACACATAGGGCACTGGTACAAAGGGCTGGTTTTCCAGTATCCCAGGATGCAGCCCTGGCAGAAGTTGTGCCCGCAGGGGATGGACACGGGGTTGGTGAAGACGTCCAGACAGATGGAGCAGTGAACCTGCTCTTCGGAAAGGTTCCCAGTGGTGGCCATTCCTGCACGGCGGAGAGGCAGGGTCATTTTCAGCGCAAGCAACCAGGCTCTGAACGGGGCATCAAACCTGCTGTGATATTGAGGTCGCTCGGGTTAGATGGCGTGATGTCATTCGAGGTCATTTTCATGCAATTTTACGAAGCAAAGCATGACGGGACTCATTTATTGTTACAAATTCAAGCCAAATAATGTGAAGATGTTGTCGACACATTTCATTTATCTTTTTGTAATAAATGAGCCCTTGTGAGTCTAAGGTGAGTGTTGTTTATGTTTGTTTTTATTAATATATTTTCTGTTTGCCACTGTTTTTCCTGAGGTAATTTTAAAGATGTTACATTGAATCTACTTCTAATGACAATTATGTTTTCTTTCCTCACTCTCTTTTCTGAATCGTCTTATTTGATTTACAAGTATATAAATAAACATGTCAGTGCTCTCTGGTGGAATCACTGTGCAATAGCAACTCTGTTTTTAAAGTTACCTCAAATGTTTTGCCATTTTACTACAAATATTTGTATCGGTCGACAAAGACACCAGTTCCAATATATTTGTGATAAGCTGATAACATTGGCTACCACAATTGATTTTGCGTTGTTACAAACATTCTGGATCTTTTTAAAGAAGACGTTTGGTCTTTACTTGAGCTTGAGCTAAATATATCGTGTTGTTTGATTACTTTAAAGGCAACGTGTCAGTGAGTTTGACTTTTAACACAAGCAGCTCTCTGCTTGAGGCCTCGGTATTCAAAGCAGACGGGATTAACATCTTTCCAAAAATATTGCTCTAGTCAGCGACTTGTCTTGCAGTGCTTCCCCTGCTCTTAATCAGGATTATTTTGACATACAAACAGCTCATGCCTCAAAGACTACAAACTTGTACCTCAATTTAAGTCTTTTTTTCAAACTGAGTTCAACATAAAAATATTTTTAAAAATCCTTTCCTTAGATCACAGCTCTTAAGCAGCCAAACTGTAATAAATGCAAATACAACCAACAATCCCCTGAGAGACATACTGGTGCACAGAGAAGCAGATGTGACGGTAAAGACATGAAAACGCAGGAGACGACAGAAAAACAGAGACATGGGGACACTCACCAGAGAGCAGCTGCCTCAATGCTCTGCTGTGCACTGACACATGAGACGGGCTGTAACCACTGCCACCACCAACTACCCCCCTCTAACACACACACACACACACACCTAAGACCCAAAATATACCCCCTCCCTCCCTCTCCTTTTACCCCAGATACAGATTTATACCCCCTGGCCAAGGCCCTCACAGGACGACTGGCTTTACCCGTTAGAGAACCAGCAGTCTAAAGAAGTTTCAAGTTGATGAAGCTCATTATGTTTCACTTCTGCTAAGAGTTGCAGTCAGTGTTGATCTTTTATGGCCTGTAATAGGTTTCGATATAATTCTTCGACATACCGGTTTGGAGGTTCACAAAAGTCACAAATTAGTGACATAAACACTGGCACTTTCTTGCTCTGTATCTATTTGTTCGGTCATATATTTTTTTATTTTTGGAGTGATAAGTTGCCGACTGGAGCCGACCTATCAGACATTTTAATTGAGGAAAAAGTGCATTAAAATGTGTTAAGCAGCCGTTTATCTTAGCTTAGCATGTGAACATAACCATGTTGATTAGTCCAGCTTTAAAGGCAGAATGACAAGGATTTATTGTGACATCAAATTCAAAGTTGGCCCCTCCCCCCCAGCTGAACGTCACCAGAAGTGCACGCCCCCTTTACTGCAGTTAAAGTTACTGTTTCTCAGCGTGTGAAAGCCGACCTCAGATTCCCTCTCGTTTTAGAACGAGCTTTGTCCACCTGGTGTTAGAAACAAGCTTAGAGACAAATCCAACATGAGTAAGAGTAAAAAAAACATGTGAACTTCTCTATTTGTTGGGTGACGAATCATCTTTAATGAACAAGTTCAGATTGGTAGTACAAAAGAACACATTTTATATATAAATACAGAACATACTTTTATGGTCCTTGAAACAATCCTGGATCATAAAGTAAAAATAAAATGCTAATTAAAAACAATATCAGAGTCCTGTAGTATGTAAAAGTCTCTCATTTGGTTCCCCAGGCCGGCTTAAACATCTAGACAGTGAAAGTACATCTATTTAACTTCATTTCTTTAATCTGTAACGTTTCTAAAGCCTTATAACAAAGACTTACACAGTAAGGAACTTGCCAGCAGTAGAGCATTACTCAAACTCAACTCGGAACAACCTTGTCTCGTCCTTCACATGTTTTTACATCATTTATTTTATATACAACTTGAGATAAGTACAGTACAGTATGACTGAACTATTGGCTACTTTTGGAGTAAACAAATTGTCAATATTTCTCTGTAATAGGCCAGTCAATAAAGAACCACCCATGTTACAGGACATTTTGGTTTCCTCTGATCCAAACGCACACTTCTTTCCTTGTATTGCTTTGAAACGATCGGCGGCCATTAAAGGATTTGTGCTGAGCCTGGTTTTACTTGATAAAATGCAATAACATGCCCATAAAGTACGAGTATGTGTTTTAATGGTTAGTATTGATATGCAAAATGACATGCTTTGTTTTTAATTCATTATATTGAAAGGTGTTTGAGGTAAAGGGCTTTTCAAGCAAGTCGTTGGCCGGATGATTGGGAAGGAAGACCGAATAATGGACAAAATTAGCTGTTCAAAAATGTCTGCACTTTTCAGCAAATTTTAGTTGACCTACAGATGTCGTAAACGTCGAATGTTTGCTGACTGACCGTCAGTCTCAGGTGTGTTTGACGGAGGATATAACGAGAGGCGAAGAGTTCTTCCCGTCCTGGTGGAGACAGGGGCTGAAGATCGGGTACAGTTTCTCGTTGAAGGTATCCATGAAGGTGTAGAGATGCAGACGCGCCTTCACATCATAGAACGAAATCTGGCCTCCTTCATAATCCAGGAAGACCCCCACTTTAATGGGTTGGGACGGCAGCAGTAGAGGCAGGCGGATCGATGCCAAAGCCTTCACCTCGGCGTTCTTCAGCCACAGGCACCAGTACCCGCCCTCGGGGCTCAGCTTGATCTCGCCCTTGCGGCGGGCCAAGGCGCTGGCCATGCCCAGCGTCCAGGCCGTCTTGCGCCCCATGTCCACCTCCCAGTAGTGTCGCCCGGAGCTGAGACCCTCTCGGCCCAGGACGAAGAGGGCGGGGTTGAAGCGTTTCGGGCCCTCGGAGTGGACGGTCTTCCGCTCTTCGTATCTCACCTGGCGGCCGTCATCGGACACAACCAGGTTCCTCTGAGCCGTGACAGGGTCCAAGATCACCTCACCTGGACAGAATAAGAGGCTCATTATATCAATGACTTTTCTACTCTTCCGATGTCCCTGTTATGGTTTAATTTCTTTATTTGATTATTTGTACGGAACTGCACCCAAAAAAAGGGAGAAGTACTTAGATCCTTTACTTAAATAAAAGTACTTAACTATAGCTTTAGAACACACATGATAAAGTACTTTCTTCTGAAATGCTATAGTGGAGTAGAAATGTAAGGTACCATAAATTGATAATACTCAAGTAAAGTAAAAGTACCTTCAAGATTGTACTAGACAGTAACTTAATATACACTGCATAATGGTGCCAGTGACATTTACCCTCTTTAACTGGCTATAAACCTCTGGATTGAGCTCAACTGTGCTGTGAAGAAAGGGCGTCCTCTTGTGGACTATTGGGAGAACTGAACATTTTGAGTTTTGGTCACACTGCTCATGATTGTCAAACACTTCTGTTTTCTTCTAAAATCTCTCAAGAGTCCCCAAAGTGCTGCTCACCAAATATAAAGTGTTACTCACTTGAATAGTTCTGGACCTTCCGGAGCTCTGAGAGAGAGGGAGAGAGAGAGAGAGAGAGAGAGAGAGAGAGAGAGAGAGAGAATTCATTCTTCTAAAGAGCCAAAGTCAAAGCAGATGGCACGTGTGGGTGGTAAACATGTAGCTCTCATCCAGAGCCGTAAACACTGGAGACATGTGCTGCTGTCAGTCATCTCTCCATTGATTTGAGGCGGTGGTGAACTGTGGCATCAACACCATCTCCATCTGTCCGACCATCTTGTATGTGTGAAATGTGTGAGTGTGTGTGGGGGGGCGGGGGGATGTGCTGTTGCAAAGATGAGTCACATATCTATTTCAAAGGACTCGTACAGTGACCTATATTTGGATTTCGCACAGGAAGTGTGTTTGATATAAGACAATGAGGGTGCAATTGTAGCTACCGAAATATGACTCTTATTTTGAAAACACACAGTATATCACTATGAGCATTTGGAAGACTTTCATTTTCCAAATCATCACAAATCAGTGCAAGTTAACACAGGGGATGGACAAAACAATAGGAACACTTAACAATGCAATCCAGTGCTACGATGTGAAGCTTATGGATGTTTAGTTATTGTTGTTTTAACAAAATAAAATTGAAGTAAATCGTTTATCACCTTTGCCGTAGAGTCTCTTGAGCTCTTCCTGGAGCTTGTCCACGAGGCTGCTGACCGAGGAGCGGATGGTTCCCAGGTAGAGGTCAGTGTTGATGCTGACCGCCGACCAATCAGTGGGCTCGGCTGGGGGGGACAGGGTCGACAGGTTCTACAGGAAATGGGAGCGCAAGGTGAAGTGAATTTAAAATGGAATGATCCCTCAGGGGAAATAAAGTATTTGCAGTGGAAAAAACCCACTAAATATGATTTCTATGGGGTAAACAATCTTGACAGTGAGCAGATGTATCTGTATAAATCAAAGTAGAGCAGCAGCTTTAAATCAGAGGAGTTACAGATCCAGAACAGTGAATGTATTTGTCTGCATATACTCTCAACATGTGTGGCTGTGGGCCTTTGCTTCCTCTCACACTTATCTGGGAACTTCAAAGACGTCTTTCATGAGAGGAAAATCAACATTTTATCTCCATAAACAGTCCAGGGTAAATGCACCAGGGGGAACTTCCATAACAGCTGGCTCTGTTCAGGGAGGCTTTTGATGCAACTGCCAACCATGCAGGACTGCTGGATAATTGGCAGTGTCGAAAGTATGTGGATGAATAATGATTGTAGAAAAATAGGATTTAAAAAATTATATATTGTTCCAGTCTGCTTTTAACATTATTAATAAGAGTATAAAGTCTGTTATGGTGGAATATCAGCAGCAGCTAGGATACAGTATCTTTAGGATTTTAACTAATTAGCTCCCTTGCTGTCCTAAATGCATATTAAGTGTTTTGTGTATGTAGGCTGCACGCTGGAAGACTGAATAATTAAGTAATACTTAATATGCCAGCATGCATTTTTAAAATCGCACTTGGGTCATGGTCTTGATTTCAAATATTGATCGTTTAAGCTATGCACCAAAAGCTGGAGGAAAGAAAAGTGGGACATTTGTGGAGGGTGGTGCAAGTGATGCTCTGGTAACAAATGTTATTATTTACAAATTTTAGAAATTCATCTTTTGATGAAATGTATATATATTTTGGACATATTTGGAATTTGTTCTACAATCACAGCTAAATCTGAACATATTTGATCTTCCAAAACTCAAAAGCGGGACGTCCAACATGTAATTACTACCTGCATGAAGGCCACTTTGTCCTGCGTCTGTGTGTAGGCCTCCAGCTCGTTGCTCTTCCTCCTCAGCTGGCTGAGCTCGTTCTCCAAACCCCGGGCCAGTTCCTGAGCGTGACGCTCGGCCTCGCGCTGCCTCGTGGCGATCAGCTCCACCAGCTCCGCCTGACTCTGCTCCACCAGGCGCTGCAGCTCCGCGTACACCTGCCAGCTCTCCTCCAACTCCCTCTGAGAGCTGGTCTGCAGCGGAGGGGGGGACACAATGGAGAGGAATGTGAATATGTGGGGTTAGTAAGGCTGCAGGTTCAAACACATTTAAGTTGTCTGTACACATTAAGGGCAGGTTGGAAGAAGTACAGTCTGTGAAAACAGTTGTCTTCTTTTTATAGTGTGAGGAAAGAAACCCTGATGATGTCACAGTGATGTCATCGCAGAGTGGGCTTGGAGACTACAGATTTACTTTCCTGTTTATCATGTTTAATTTCAACTGTATGTAATCCGTTGTATTACTTGGCTCTTTTTAAATCCTACGTATGAATGTCTTTTTATATCCTCTTGTGTGTTTGTTTTGACGTCTTATGAATCACTTTGAAAAGCCTTGTTGTTGAGGGTGTGATCAAAATAAACTCGCCACGCCTTAAGGTCCACATTTTTTCCATGTCTGTTACAGGGTTAGGCCTAAAATAAAAACATCAAAACCAATTAGAGTCCAACTAATTGTTTAAGTAAAGACACAGCTCGTTTTCATGCCTTGTTTCCTGATTGATTTAAAGAGGTTTGTGTTTTTTTTCATTTGTTCATTAATATAAAGTTTATTTTGCTTACTCACATGCATGAATACAATTTAAAAAAATCCAGTGAGGCATCATTGTCTTTATCTCCAAGTCTGTCATGCACATGTGCAGAGTGTTTGTACAGTAAACACACACACACACACACACACACACACACACACACACACACACCCTGATATTCAACCCTCTGGTAACTTAATCCTCATTGTATTTTTTCAAAAGTAGATACAAATGTCACCAAACAGGAAACCAAGAGCAGCACTGAACCTGGAAAATGATTCTTATGGAAAACCATTCAAAACCTCAATAACATTTCTGCCATTTTACAACTACAATTACAATCCTTTCATTTATACGAACAAAAGCAGCGTGATCCTGCGTGTTGTAATCTGTGGTGCTGGAGGGAGTGTTTCCTGTCATGAGTCACAGACAGGGTGTGGGAAACTAAAGGTAAGCGTGTAAACGCTGGTCACACCGGTCGGACAGCCTCAGACATGGATCTGAGTCTGTAGACGCAAGAGACAAACAAATGTTTGCATTCGCAAGATGTGGCCAATGTCGTCACCAAACCTGTTGCTGCTTTTCCATCAAAGCAAAAGGTAAATCTGCAGCGCGGTGGGTGAGTTATCATCCCATCCGCAGATGTGTGTTCCTGCCAAAGGGCCCTCGAGAAATCGGCCAGCTCACGTGCTTTGCCCAGATCAGAGAGCAAATAAAGCTTTACATGAGAGCAGACTGGGCAAATATTTAACATGCACCAGGTGAGGGAAAGCACAACAGCCTGCCGGATCAACGCACTTTAAAACACATGACCTGCATGTTCAAAATGGCACAAAGTGCTGATTCAATCTAAATCATAAGACTGAAAATAACAATTGGATATTGGTCTGTCAGTGTCATCCTGTGATGTATTATCTAATTTGTCAATACTATCTAGAATAATAGATATTGAGAGCGATCAATTCTCTGTCAGAAAAACATTGTTGGTATCTGTTTTGGACTCACCTTGATGACTTTGATGGATTGTTTGATCTCCTCCAGCTTCTTGGCTCTCTCCTTGATCAAATGCTTGACCTCCGACTTCTTCTTAACCAGATTACTCTGCGAGAAGAAAATCAGGATTGTGGCTCACTGAAATCAATATTCACACGGCTTTAGAGCATGAAAGTCACCTGACAGTGAGGCTTTCATCAGGTGCGTTTAAGGCAGGACACAGAATCACAACCCATTCACATCAAGCCCACCAATCAATCAGAAAGTTAGTTGTGAACACCAATACATTGTATTAAATTAAGACCTAAATGCTCACCATCTTCTTCTTCCACTCGTGGTCAATGGAGACGATGTCGTGGGACTTGTGCGTGGACTCGGCGCAGGCCGTGCAGATGGCGGCGTGGTCCGAGCGGCAGTAGACCTCCAGAAGACGCTCGTGTTTCTTACAGATCTTCTCCTCCAGGTGGAAAGTGGGTTCGATCAGACGATGGGATATCAGGGACTTCACCTGGGAGAAGGGGAGCCATGCATTTAAATGGAGCAAATGTAGGCAGCGGGGTATTTGAACCAGGAAGCTCTGAGATAATGATAGGAATCTAAATTATATGGTGCAGTTATCAAGTAGAACAATTTCACAATATAAGACAAAATGAAATGATAACAGAAGGCAACAAAGAAAGGCATTGCCAAAGAGAAAGAAAACAGATATATATTATCTTGCAATAATCCCAAAGAAGAGTACAAACTGACCTTTCTATGATGTCTGAGGTGGGCCTCACAGAACGATCCAGGGCAGTTCACACAAGACTTGAGGGCCTTCACCTTCCTTCCGATGCAGGCATCACAGGGAACCTCCCCAGCCCGGGCGAACTCCCCGTTGTCAGACCCTTGGGAGCCCCCGTGGCTCGTAGCTGAGCTAAGGTTCAGTGTGGACCCCCGTGAGGCTCCACCGGCTCCCGAGGCTCCCACGGCCCCTCCAGCTCCTTCGGCCAGCAACAGCCCCTGGAACTGGGAGGAGATTTCCGCAAGGACCCTGTTGACGCTCATCTCTGGCCTCTTGTGGTAGCTCTTCTTGCACATGGGACACAGGAACTTCTTGCTGTGGTTCCAGTAGCCCTGCAGGCAGGCCTTGCAGAAGCTGTGGCCGCACGGCGTGGAGATGGGCTCCACGAACACCTCTAGACAGATGGAGCAGGTGAACTGGTCCTCAGAGAGGACACCGCCTCCTGGAGAGCTTATGCCTGGAAGAAAGAGGGAAGGAGACACACGGTATAGATTAGATGCACAATTCATGGCAGGGTGACGAGCCATGTAGACGTTGCCCCTACTGATATAGAAAAACATGATTTCATATATTACTAAAACCAGGTTATTGTTTGCGCAAAACAGACATTTTGAGGGCGAAGCACAACGGTGACACTGACAAACAGTTGATGTGACGAAAGCATGAATTAAAGTAAAAACACTTTGTTTTACTGCGAGAGAAAAAGGGCTGAGGATATGTGGTGTTTGTGTCTGACTAATGGGTCAAAGGTCAGTGTGTGCACAGCTACAATCTGCTGCAGTTCCTTTGGCGCTACAATTAGGTCATAAAGAGTCACAGAGGAGAAGGGGGGGGGGGGGTTGAGCACCAGAGAGAACACAAAGTCTCTTCACACGAGCGGGAAGTGTATTTAACAGCGTCACTGTGTCCAGAGAGGTGTGAAACTATCTGAGGAATGCAGAAACTCAGGACCATCTACCTCACAGCAGCGTACTGCTTCAGGTTTACAAGAAAACACAACTCCCTCCGGAGTTTACCCCAAACAACCAATGCTACCATTGCTTTTGGCATCTTTAATCAGGCTTAAATGGCTCATTTTTCATTTAACGCAAAAGGACAAGATATCACATGATTATTCATAAATGTAAACATATCAGCTAGTGGAGCATCATTTCAGGACATTAAGTCAAGTAAAATAACATGTTGTCCTATGCAAACAAACACATCACTCGGCTGTAAGTTTTACACTGTTTTAATGTAAATAACTTTGTTTCACACTGTCTGTTTGCCACTCTTCTACTACACATATGTGGCACACTACACAGAAAACTGTTCTCAACTAAACACATCATGTCCTACAGTCAAAAAGAAGAGGTAGCCACTGATATTAATGTGAGATAAAGTTAGAACTTACTCTGCATGTTTTCCTCTGACGTGCAGTCCTTCACTTCACGCACTCTGCTGTGAATCACACACACCGACAGGTGCTGCACTCTTCCTGAAACTTGAAGTGGCCCTCCCACTCCCGGTGTGACACACCCGAACGTTCACACATGCCCTCCCCTTGTTATCACACTCTGATTTCAACGACTCTGCGCTGCAGATATAGAAAAAGCCTGAAACGCCAGGACGTCCTGTGCTGTTCTTACTCCAGGTCTCTCCCTGTAAAGACTGACAAGTATCAGTGGGTTTAAGCTTAATGGCTGGTGTGGAAATAAGATAGCAGTTGTAGGTGAGCTAAAATGTTTTGCTGTTGTCAAATGCAGTTTCTAGACATGTGTACGGGGTCATAAATTCCCTTTACTCACCTTATTTATGACTGATGAGTGTCACTGATATTAGCGTCTTGATGTGAAAGAAAACACTTATTCTTCTTGGGTAATATGTTTTTAACTGAAAGTAAATTTTTATTTTAAATTGAAATAAACAGCACCATGTGTTGATTACTTGTAGTCACTTTATTTATGAAGTCCCTAAACATTCATCTGGTAATATTCATGAATTTTACAACTGTACATTTTACATAAAATGTAAGACAAATTCTTTGTTCGTTTTAAAAGGGTATATATATATATATATATATATATATATATATATATATATAAAAAATCCCACAGATCGATGGAATCAGTGGGACAAATAAAAGGCAAAACAAACTACTCACAAACACCAGAAGTCATGTGAATTGACTTTGCATGTAAAAGGCAGTTAAAACTACCAGGAAACATGCAACCCCACATACACAATAGTTACAAAATATGACACAAAAATCCAACAATACCTAAAACTAAACTCCCTTTATGTTTCAGTTATATTTGTGTTTCAATTTTTATTGCATTGGCTTAAAATCTAAATGTATACAGTACATTTGTCATAATGCCTTTAGTAAACGGTCTATTATAACACCTCATTATAGCTGGAAATATATCAATGTCACCAAAATCCGGTCTATGGAAATAAAACATAAACACCAGCAGACACCGCTGCTCATGGATAAAACATGCAATAACTCAACTCTGTATGTCTATTTCTGGTTACATATTGATTCCTGTGATTTGCTCAGCACGATCACTTTTTCATCTTGTAAAGTACACCGTCATAAGTTTCAGAGGAGCAGCCTCTTTCTTTGCTATCGCCAAACACGGATCAAATATGGGGTAAACTTTGCCCGTAAAGTTGCACTTAGTGAAGGTGAAGATGAGAGTCTTAGCCTCCGCGTCGAAGAAGGCCACCCGGCTCTCCTCGTAATCCACAAACACCCCCACCCTCTGGGGATGGGAAGACAACGTCAAGGGGAATGGATTCTGCCTGCACACGAAATACTGCCTTCCATCCCTGTGAGCTACAGTCCACAAGCCGTTCTCCGGAGAGGGAGTTATGTGTCCGCTCCTCCTCAATGTGTTCGAAGCGACCCCCAGCACCCAGTTGGATTTCTCCTTCACCCCGACCTCCCAGTAGTGTCTGCCCGTGCTCAGACCACGTGTCCCGACAGCAAATGTGGTTTCTGTGAACCTCGCCAGGTTTGTTGGAACTTTCTGCTTCTTTGCAGACTGTCTGACTTCTTTGCCGTCTTCAGAGACGGTGAGCCAGGGCCCTGCGGTGTCGGGGTCGATGGTGATGTCCTCTGTTAGAGTAGACGACCAGATGTGAGGATTAGATGTTAATGACAATCTTATCATGAGATGAAACTCTAAGGTCTCGAAAGATTTTATGTTGAATTTATATTAAAAAAACATCCAATTTAAAAGTAAGAAGTGACAAACCTGCAAATATCTGCACTTTCTTAAACTCTGCGGGGGAAGATCATAATTAGTAAAGTGATACATGATGCTATTAATGTGTTCAATGGTGAATGACAGCTCAATTCATCAAATCACCTTGAAGTGATGAACTCATCTTTAGCAACAACATAGTTATCATTGTTTTTTCAATGTGTTTTCATCAAGCAATGTTCCGCTCATCAGACAGAGTCAGATATATTTAGCAACAAATGTGATCAATCATTTATTCATTTCTAATGTTGACATTTTAAACAGAGTGCAGGGAAGGCACATCCAAAAACTCGGTTGGAAACACAAACTGAAGGCAAAAGTCAGACAAAGTATCAGCGCCGCACTCCGCTAACGAAGAAGTGACACAAACGCATTCATCACTCTGGTGGTCGTGATCTGTGTGATTGAAAGTCGATCTACTCCCAGACTGGACCAATCAGAGCAGAGCTGTGTGATACGGTTTAGGAAACAATTATGGCAAAAACATCAGGATAAATATAGTTCACAGGCACATTTTGCATCGAATACATAAAAAAGTCAAATACAAGAAGTGTGAATCACATAAATTATCCAGAAGAAACAACTGTCATTAATATACATCAATTAAAGTAGAAAACAGTAAGATATTACTTGCCTAAAAGGATAAGCGACCAAATCAACCACCTGAGTAATAAATGTGTCGTTTGATTCGATGGATACCTAACAATTCCTGATGGAAGGCTCTTAGATGTTCGTCTTTGCTTCGAACTTACCGTTGGCTGACTGTTCTCTAATTTCCAGGTCGATGAACTCTCTTGCCTCGATCAAAGACGTCTGTATGTAGCCCAAGAAATCCACTTCATGAACGGGGATGCTCGTCCAGTCCTTGGTTGATGGGAGTTTGTAGGCGTTGTTGAATGCCTGTTGAATGGGAAACAGAAACAATGTTGTCATTGGCTGTTAACTTGCGACACGTGATCATGCTGTAATTATCAAGCGTATACGCTAACATGCTACATGCTAAACGAGAGCATGTTTAACATCCAACAGTTGTTAATGTTGTTGTGTTAGCATGCTTATGTATAGTCGATACGTATATGATTATTACAGAAGATGATTCCTGCACCGACCTCCAGGAGCGTGATATGGTCTTCAATGTGTGGGAGCTGCTGCAGCTCAACACCTTTCTTCTCCAGTTCGTCGATTTCCCGCCTCAGCTCTTTGACGAGCTCTTCAAACCTCTTCTGTTCGGCATCATTTCTCGCCTCCATCTTTTCTATGAGCTCTGTGTGGGTGTCCTGGATTGACTCAATCACAGACATGAACACCTGAACACTCGCCGCAATTTCTTTCTTTGCATTCTCCTAAAAGTCAAAACATGTCATCATTAAAACTTGTATATAAACAGTGGACGTGTATGATCACATTGTACAGGACAAGCTAGGAGTTGTGTGTCAGATCTACTCTGTGTACCATGTGGTCAAAAGATAAGAAAACATCTTCCACCATTGATATTAAAGTCAATGCAATTTATTAACAAAAGTTTAATGAAAGAGTTTCTGAACTGATCCGATTTGTGAAATAAAAAGGCAAGCAATAAAAACTAAAAAAGCAACGGTCCAGAGAAATAATTACAAAAATGTCCAACGAGCATTAACTAAGACTAGAACAGGCAAATTGTCAAATAAAAACAAATAGCAGTCAAACATGTTGGAATATTGAAATAAGTTGAATTTGCAGTCCGAATACAATAAATAGAGGATATTTTGATGCAAAATATGTAGTTGGACTGATCAAAATGTTTATGATTAATTGTTGAAGAGTGTCTGTTGAAGAGTTTTTCTTGATGTTATCCAGAAAAATAAACAGGTAAGCATATAAATGAGGCTCCAGTGTATAAATGTATATATTGTGCTCAATACAAATATAATTTGTATTTAGCAAATTTTCATTTTGAAAGGAAGCAAATGTTTATTTGGGAGCATTTCTTTGTGTGAATGAGACTCTCAGGTGTGGCGAGTGGGGGATTAATCAAAGCTGATCACTAACAGGTGTGCGCTTGAGTTAAGGCAGGTGTGCAGAGCTGATGAAGAGGAGCTGGTTTGTGCTGCCTGTAACACTCGGACTGTCTGTCCCACAGAGTTTAGGAGCCTTCTGACAGTGTGTTGACTTTGAACTCACCTCTGTTTGTTTCTTTGAATAATTGATTTCTTCGATCCTTTTTTTCCGATCCTGTATCATCAGCTCCACTTCTCTCTCTTTCCTCTTGCTCTGAGTCTGGGAGGGAAATGAAAACATTAGTTGCAGTAGAAACACTTCTATCTAGAGTAAGCACATGCATTTAGTTTTTACACACACTACCACAACTTATAAAGCCTTTAAATGGTTATTTGTTATGCTGTGATGCACTCTTTCCACCCTGTCATTATCAACGTACGCAACAATACCACAGCTGTAAGACAGTGAAATGATCAAATGGTATAATTAGGTAACCTTAACTATAGCGCTCAGTTAAAGGTTGCTGCAAGAAACTGAAAACCTTTAACTATGACCTGTACGTTTTTTTTCTGCACAAAAACCAAAGTAACAAAATATGAAACTGTGTTTTATCACCATTTTTTGCTGCGACGCAGCGTCTGCCGTCACAATTGTGTGCCCTCTGTGGTCGGTCTGAGCACAAATCCGACATATGAACTTATCCTCCTGCTTACAATACAGCTCCAGGATCTTCTCATGATTCGTACATATCCTGTCTTCCAGGTTCCTAACTGGTTGAATCAGCTTATGTCTGCTCAGGGCTGCTGCGGTCTTGTGAGGCTCCAGGTGACTCTCACAGTAAGACGCCATACACACCAGGCAGGACTTTGTGGCCTTTACTTTCACACCCGTGCAGACATCACAGGCCACTTCACCGGCTTTGGCCTTGTGGGCTTTACCGCCCCTCACTGTGCCTGCATTTGTGTTTTTATGGTGATTGACAAACACTTGGAAGGAGTTGTTGACCTGCAGCTCAGGTCTCTTGTGAAACGGTTCCTTGCACACGGGACAGAGAGACGTCTCAGATCCGTTCCAGCACTTTTCAATGCAGAGCTTGCAGAAGTTGTGTCCACACGGAGTCGAGACTGGGTCAGTGTAAAGCTCCAGACACACGGAACAACTGAAGCGTTGGTTGTCTAGCCCGTGGGCCATGTCTGAAACCAGAGTGAAACCTATTCTCAATGACTGACAGCAACAAACAGAAACTGGGCTACTGTAGACAACATATTCATTAACATATTCCGTATCTGCCAGTAGATTCCTCTAAGTGCTACACCTTTCATATCAAAGAAAGTCTGACACATTCACCTTGGTATGGGGAAATCACTCTCATCCCTCAACAGGTTTAATGTTGAGGGACGAGTTAAAAATAGACTTCTACACACTGATGGTATAAGGAAGCGCAAATGATGGTAGTAGGAGGAAATATTTTGGTAATCGGTGCAAAAGAATGTGTTGCGATAACATTTTTAGGTTTGATAAACCCTTTGAAATATGACCAACTTTGGCAGAAACATTATGCGGGATTTCTAAAACCCATCTGGCACTTGAGTTCACGTTTCAGACCAGAATTGTCATGAACGAAGTGGTTGTTGGTTAGACGTTGACGTTTCCGTACAGAGCAATGAAAAGTGAACCTGCAGCATTCTACCATAGAAGTGTTTGAATTATCCTACGTAATTATCTATCATTAATTGCAAGAATCTCTTACAAATCCAATACATTATCCTTATCTTTTACAGCCTACAGAACGAAAATGCAAAGCCCACATCCCACTCATAGGCTACATTATTAGATATCAAGACATACCTGCTTGTCTCTCGGCTGTTCCTTCAGGTACGACAGGTGTCAGGTATGATCTTTAATCCTATCTGGACTACTGAGTGCAACTGCTGAAACACGATCTGCGATTGGTGTTCTTATTTTGCATGCAACGAATAATTTTCCACCTCCCCTTGAGGCTTTTAAATAGTTTCGTTGGGAGAGTTTGTACTTTCCTGGGCGGTGAGGTTTCCAGTTATCGACAGTCACTTCCTCGTCTGTTCAGAATGATGTAAGCCAACCTCAAAGCTGCTCCGCATGACGTCATGTTAATTCCAATAATTCAAAACTGTCTCGGAGGGCTTTATAAACTAGACAAGCTATGACAAAGTTCTTTAAAAAAAAAAAAAAAAACTCCACAAAAAATGTTTTTAATGGAAAACCAGATTAACGGCGTGTCCGCAATCCAAAATGAAATGCACTTAAACCGGATTAACGGCACACTAAATGTGGTCATTTTTTTACCCAAGTGCACAGTATACTGTGACTGTTAGTGTGCAGTATGAAGTTATTTGGGAGCGTATCTTTGTGTGAATGAGACTCTCAGGTATGGAGAGTGGGGGATTAATCAAGGCAACCCACTAACAGGTGTGTGCATGAGTTAAGGCAGGTGTGCAGAGCTGATAAATACGAGCTGTTCTGTGCGGCGTGGAACATTCTGAATATCCTTCCTCCAGAGTTTAGAAGTGTTGTTGACGGGTTTTCTTTGAGTGATTGATCAGCCTGGAGAAAGCACATGTATTTATTTTTTACAAACACAACCATCACTTGTAAACTTGTTTCATGTCTTCTTGATGGTGTAATACTCTCTGTCCATGACAATGGTATACTTGGGCCCCCCTAACACTAGCAGCCCAAAGACCACGGGGACAGATCTCAATTCTGACTCAATGGTGGCACTAGAACAAGTTGCTGTTGCCCTCCAAAGTTATTGCAATTCAGCCTGAGGGAGACAAGAATGTCTGCACAAAATAACATGTCAATCCATCCAATAGTTGCTGAGACATTTCAGTACGACTGACAGAGCGCCATCCCTAGAACCATGCAGCTTTGTATCATTCAAAATAGTCTAAAGGTGCTCTAGAAAGCCCACGTTACAACACTGAATGATCATGGATGGACTACTGAACAGGTCTAGCCCAAAATGTCAGGGGCCCCCCTGACCTTCATCAACAAAATGTCACCCAATGAGATAAGTACCAACCAGGAAGAGACGTATACATGATTACAAAGAGAGTATAAAGAGATGCAAAACAACTGCAGAGAGACACAAGAGCCCACACACTGACACACAACTAATGAAAAGGGGCATAACAATCAGGAAGATAGTCAAAATTACCACCGAGAAACATAAAACGACTACAAAGAAACACAAAAAGACTAGAAATAGACCGATGCAACTGCAAAGGGACACAAGAGCCCACAAAGTGACTCAACAACTATGAAAAGGGGCAGAACAAAAACAGAGCCACAAAATGACTACAAAGAGACACAAAACCGAAAAAGAGATGCATAGTCACTACAAAGCAACACAAAACGACAAAAAGAGGCTAAACAACGATAAAGTCTTGCTCATGTAGGAGAGGTGTCAGGGCCTTTTGCATGTCTTTACCCAGCATCCCATTGTCTCATAATCCACCCATGTGCATGATTATATAAAATATTTATTTTATTGCCCTTCAAATGTTCTTTTTTTTCAGTGCAATGCAGACTGCAGCATGTGTTGGAAGCTGCATTCCTTCATCTCCACCACTAGTGGGCGGCCTCGGGCTGCCAATGAGGGGACACCGGCTCCACAGACACCTTACAGTCATGTTGCATTTTTTACCCTATGCATGCACAGTGATGCTGTCGTCCATGGCAACGTTTGAGCACAACCCGTAGAACAGGCTGAAATCCTCCAAAAGTGATCACTGTCGAACCGAGACGACGTCCCGATGCAGTTAATGTCATTTTCTTATGATTCTGGACGCCAACTTTGAATGATGACGCTCAAATCCACCACCCATCCGAGCTTTCACGAAGACCGATGTCTTTGCACTGCAGAGGGGGGGTCCTGTTCCAAAAAGAAGGCCGTGTCTGGGTCTCTGAGATGTTATTGATCCTCCTCACCTCCTGCATCTCTCTCTCTCTATCTGTTGCGTGTTATTGATTCTCTTACACGTCTTCATTTTCCTCAGTTCCTATTGAGAAACTGTGCTTCTGTCTTTTTTAACAGTTAATAGTTGAATTTCATTTTACTACCTCTCACAACTTGCCCCAAAAGAAATAACTTTTTATTATTACAATTTTTATTATTGCTGTCAGTCTTACCTGCAAGTGCAACCACAACCTTGCATCGGCTATGATTGCTGCTGTGTGTGTGTGTGTGTGTGTGTGCACGTGGGTGTGCATCTGTGCATGCATGTATCTGTGCATGCATGCTATAATATTCAGTGTAGCCCCACAGATAAACCCACTGCAGAGATTGTGTCGCATGATGTAGTGGAGCTACAGTTTCTTCGAGTGGGGATTCTGCTTTCTCTCCCTGTCGCAGTGTCAGTCAAGGTAAATGTATTCCTCCCTCCTCCCCCCCTTTTCCTCCCCCTTTCTCTCCCTCTCTCTGTCCACCAGCAGCTCCAGCTCTTTTTCACACATCTATCTTTTTTTTTTTTTACTCCCCTTTTGTTCTTTCTGTCTGTTTTTGGTTTTCCATAACCCAATCCAAAGCCTCTCTTTCAGGTTTATAAATAGACGCTATACCCTTCTCTTATTCTCTCCGTTGCTTCCTGTAGTTTCTCCCCTTCCCTGCAATCCAGCACTAGTCTCTGCTGGCAGCTACACTGCGCTGGGTCTTTCCTGTCTCAACCCCCTTTTTCTTCTCTACACACATCTCACTCTCAATATCGTACCTCCATCTCTTTCTCTCTCGTGTTATAATTTGAAGAACTCTTGAGAGAGCCTGCGTATAGGTCTTTCTCCAGAAAATGTAGCTTCAGGTTATGCACTGGCTTTTCTCTCTTCCGCAGCTTCCCTCTCAGATGCAGAAGAAAAACCAATAAGCTCGCTCTGCATATAGTTTCCTCACATCTCAGCATGTTGCTTCCTCTGCGTCCCCCCCCCCTCCCTAGCTCACTCCTCTGTGTCATCCTCCGCCTCCCTCCCTATGCTCTCTGGTTTCTCAGAGAGGGTATCAGTGCTCTCACCTCCTCCAGGGGATTCGGTAGCGCTAGTGAGCATGACAGATAGTCAGTGCGGATAGTGTCACACTCTCTATGTTACTGATAACCTTCGCTGTGCCCCGGCAACCGGAGGACAAAACCCAAAGCTGAAATGATGCCGCCTTGATCTGATCTTGTGGCGTTTTCTCAATGGAGTTAACCGGCAAGCGTGTTGCATTAGCACTCCTAATAACACTGTGAGGCAGTATATTAATCCCCCAGTTGGGTTATTCTGTTTGGGCTTGTAAGGGGAAGTGAGATCAGGCGCCCCATGGTATGGTGTGTCATGCTCAAGGGCACTAAAGCAGAGCAGGTGGACGGGCCTGCAACTGGAAGGTTTCTGAACACTGAACCCTGCGGCTGCTGAATGGTTGTGTAAGAGTAATTGGTGCAGATTGATCATCAGTGACATAACATGCAAATTACATCAGCACCAAAATCATTAACAAGTGATCCGAGTGCATCATTGGCTCATGCCTATTGAATAATAATTGACTCAACCACACAAAGCAAATCCATAAATGCATGAATTTAGGTCATTTAGACCTTGCATAGATAACATAGTTGCACTTTCCTATTAGCCTATTAGCTTAGCTTAGCAAAAAGACTGGAAACGGCAAGCTTGGTTCAAAAGTACATTACATTACATTAGTCATTTAGCAGATGCTTTTATCCAAAGCGACTTACAATAGGTGTATTCATACACTATGTGGCGTATTCAGGCTTGAAGAAATAACCTGTTTACACTGAACTTTAGGGGCAAACAGAACATTTCCCTTTCATCATTGGTACCCATCTACCGAGCATCAGTGATATTGGTGACAAGAGGCACCTGCAAAAAAGCCCAAAGGGTATTAAAAGGGCTATGTAACATGCTAGCACCTTTACCATGGTGAATATTATACTCTCTGAGCATCTGCCTATAATCTATTAGCCTGCTGATGTTAGCATTTATAGCTCAAAGTATTGCTGTGCCTAAGTACACCCTCGCTGAGCTCAATCTTGTTTTCCGAAGCATCAATGAATTGATAGTCTTGATGTTGACCCATCATCTACATGAAGCAGCAGCTTAAAGGTGAGCTTAATGCGTTCCTTGCTCTGCTCAGTGCCGTGACATCCTCTGCATCATGTCGGTCTTAGTCATCACTCTGATGATGCACACTGCTCCAGAAAAGCAAAAAAAAAAAAACGACTATAGCTTCTTGCATTGTTCCCTCCTTTTTTTATTTTTCATTTCAATGTTGAAAATGTTGAAATTCATCACCTCTTGTGCAGGAGAGGATTTTCCCATACACACCAACAGTCTCTTAAGGCTGTTCCTGCATGCCAGTGTAAATGTATTCAGCTGTATGAATGTGAAACAAATCAATACTGGGAAAGCCAAACCGTCCCAGTGTGGTTAATTGATCCACATTTTCTGTGCTGCCGCCAGAAAGAATTTTATTTTTAGCTTAACTTTTTTTTCTTCTTTTAATCATTTAAAAATGAAATGTGTGACTGTATGTACCAGCTCCTGCCTGTTGCGGTGTGTGTGTGTGTGTGTGTGTGTGGTGTCCCTGGATGGGGGAAGTGAATCTTCCTCCAGTGAATTCTTTCACTGTAATATCTGTATCACATCCGTTTCAGGTAATACCTTTTCATGCATCACATGGCCTTTGTTGCCCGTCCGACTCGTATGTATTTCTTGAATGTAACTGAGACATGAAAGCATGTGCAATCGGGGCCAATGTAGGATTTTCTTTAAACCCCATTTTGCTTTAAACGGCTTAAACAGCGAAGCAAGGCACTGCAGCTGAGAGCAACGTTAACCTCTCTCCCTTCAGATGCGATCTGATCTGGTGCCATCGCGTCCGATCTTGTCTCTCCTCGTCGTGATTTGAAATATTCCCCGCGTTTGTCTTAATAAAGACACTGAAGAGCCACGGAGGACAAAAAGGCACGCAGCATGCCTTATCGTCATGTGATCACAT